TAACCCTAACCCTAACCCTAACCCTAACCCTAACCCTAACCCTAACCCTAACCCTAACCCTAACCCTAACCCTAACCCTAACCCTAACCCTAACCGATAGACGCTGCTGCCGCCTTCGCACTCCTCGCCGCGATTCACGCTTTCTCGCCACGCTTCCCCGCCCTTCGCGCGACTAACGCTTCCCGCACTTCGCTTGCTGCCACGCTGCTGCTGCCCTTGCGCTCACTGCTCCTCCTCGCTGCGCTTGCGCTGTTGGCCAAGGTGGTTGCCGCAGACGCCGCGGAACATGCTGCCATGCCGCCTTCGCACTCCTTGCCGCACTTCACGCGCTTCGCACTTCACACTCACCCTTCACGCTTCGCACTTCACGCTCACCCTTCACGCTTCTCTCGTCGCTGCGTACAAATACATTGAAGGATACTCGTGACTGTGGGCGCCCCCCGTAGCTGTGCGACACTCGTCATACTTGACACAGCGCCTGCACGGCGTCCGGAATCGGCCCGACGCGCTGCGGCAGCACGGACAGCTCGGCGAGGAGCCCGACGCTCATGTGCGCGCCGATGTGGCAGTGGCTGGAGGGACAGTGTCAGCGCTCGTGCCGCTGCCGTGCGTCGGTCTGATGTCCTGCATCGCTCGCCGCTGATGCTGCCGTGCGTGCCCCTCTTGGCCGCCTTGCGGGGCCTGTCACTGCCGTGCCTGCCCTCCCGCATGCTTCGCCTCGCAGCCACGCCGCTGTCGGGCTTGCTGATCCATTGCCCGCGACGCATCGCCAGCCTCGCGCTTCGCACCGCCGTGCTTGGCCTTTCGACGCTCGCTCTCGCAGCATTGGCCTCGCAGCCATGCCGCTATGTGCTTGACCCTGGCCTCGCCTCGCATCGCTCGCCCACCCTGCCGTGCTTGACTCTCGCCAGCCGTGCATCATGCTCTTGCCCGCCACTGCCGTGCGTCATGCTCCGTCGCTCCGCTCCGTCGCAACCCACCGCCTCCGCCGTATTTCACGCTTAGTCGCTCCGCACTCACAAGGTCCACAGGCCCGGCATGTCGAGCGTGACGCGCACAACCGCCCAGCCAAAGCCCGGCACGACCCACACGTCGCGCCGCATCGGGTTTGCAAAGCGCTGCGCGAGGTCGAGCGACTTGCCGTACTGGAAGAAGCCCTCGCCGGAGCCGAGCACCCACGGCGTGTAGCCGTGGATGTGGAACGGGTGGTCGCCGTCGTCTGGAGGAAGTGTCAGATGTCGTCGCAGTCGCCGCACATGCCGCAGCCGTCGCAGTCGCCGCACACGCCGCATACACCCCCCCCCCCCTCTCCCACCCCACCTTCGTACGGGACATAATACTCTGTGGTACTCTGACTCACCCTCGTTGTTGATGATGAGGTCCATGGTGACGATCTCGTCGTTGGTGAGGATCAGCTGGCTGTTGTCGAGCGCGCGGTACGTGCCGCCCGTGCGTGCCGCCTCGGTGACGAGCACGAGCGCGTCCGTGCCGTTGGGCATCTCCCACGCCGTGCCGTTCATGAAGCCGTAGTAGTGCGACTGCGAGGATGCGATGGGATGATGAGCTAGGTGGCGAAAAGGTCCCGCAAAGTGTGGGCAACTCACCGTCGCGTCGAGGCCAAACGAGACCAGCAGCGTCTCCTGCTTCGTCGCCGCCGGCGGGTCGAGGCGGTGCACGGGCACGAGCGTGTCCGGCTTGAGGTCGTCGAGTTGCAGCGGCGCCGCCTGGACTGTCGCGCTGTTGCCCACCAGGACTGCCGCTCCATCCACCGTCGCATTGGACACATACTCCATCGCCAGCGACTGCTGCTGGACCAGGCCCGGCCGCTTGTAGCCAAACATCGAGTCCGTCATGTCGCCGTGCATCGCGTACGTGCCCGGCGCCTGGTCCATGTCGACGAGCACCGAGTAGCGCTGCCCGGCCTCGAGTTGGAGCTGGAAGAAGGGGGTGAGCCGCGCATCGCTTGCATCACTCACACCACCCGCAGCACTTGGACTGTCGGGGGCTGGGGCGACTCACACTGCGCACGCGCTGCGACTCCACCTCCGTGCCGTCGGCTTCCACAACGAGCAGCGAGTGGCCGTCGATCGCAAAGCGCATCGTCGCCAGCGAGCCCGCGTGGATGACGCGCAGGCGGTAGCGCTTGCCCGCCTCGACACGCATGCGCGCCTGCCGCTCCTGCCCGCCGGTGCAGCGCCCAATGCCGTTGATGAGCGCGCAGTCGGGCACGGGCTCGTCGCCTTGGACGCTGTCGGGGAGTCAGCAAGTGCTGGGTTGCGACATGATGACGCTGGCCGCGCGCCGTCGTCACATACACTACCCGCCCCCTCCGTGAACACTCGCACTCACCCGCCAGGAGGCCCGTCAAACGACTGGTAGCCCTCGAGGTACGCGCCCGAGAGGTCGTTCCAGAGGTCCGCGAGCAGCACAACGCGGTCCTCGTCGTACGTCGTGTCGTGCGGCGCGCGCGGCTGCGGCGCCGGCGCCAGCTGCAGCGCCTCGGCGGGCGAGTGCAGCACCATGGCGCCGTACAGGCCGTCCTGGTACTGCGCGCCAAAGTGCGCGTGCCACCAGCTGAGGAGGGGTCAGCCCGCGCGCAAGTCGTGACGCCACAGACACCGCGCTACCCACTACGTGCCGGTCGTCTGCACGACAAATTCGTACGTAAACGAGCGGCCGGGCGCAATCGGGCACTGCGTGATGCCCGCCGTGCCGTCCTGGAGAGATGTCAGCAACGGCTCTGGCACGCACGCAAAGCTTCACACACCATAAAGTTGGTGCCGTTCTGCGGCTGCCCGTGCCAGTGGATTGCCGTCGCGTTGGGCATAAAGTTGCGCACGGTGATGAGCAGCCGGTCGCCCAGGTTCGCCTCGATCAGCGGGCCTGCGATGAGTGTCAGCGCCGGCACAGAGCTCCACCGGTGTATCGGGAGCTCCACCGGTGTATCGGGGTGTGGTGGTGGCTGCCTCACCAGGCGACATGCGGTTCGCGAGCAGCATCGGCTTGTCGCGCCCGCCCGGCGTCGCCGTCTCGAGCGTGAGGTCCCACGCGAAGCGGCGCGTCGTCGGCGCAGCGTGCACGTCCCAGCCGCCCGGAATCTGGAAGCCCGTCTCGTTGACGAGCTGGCCAATGGGCACGACGCCGGCGAGTGCGGCCGGCCGGGCCAGCGCCGCCTCCTGAGCGGGCGCAGCCGCCTCCACCAGTCCCTCCGCAGCACGGGGCAAATGCCACACTGCGAGCAGGCCGAAGAGAAAGAGACACAGCGCCACGCCCGGCAGCACGAGGGCAAAGACCGGGCCCTGGCGGCGGTGCCGCGCCTGGCGCAGCTCGCGCAGCTGTGCCGCGCTCAGCACGTCCTTCTCGGCGACGAGCTCGCCGTCGGCCTGCGCCTCGAGCAGTCGCTCGTGGTCCTCGTCTGCGTGCTTGGTGCGTCGTGCGAAGAACATCGCGGGTGGTGGTGGGGAGAAGAGCGCGTGGGCGTGGCCTCCACGCAGCGCATCAGCGGCACGGCGCAGCACCGCGCACAGACCGTGGGAGCAACGTCAAATTGCCAGCGGCCGGCGCCCTGTGCTGACAAATGCCCGCAGCGGCACAGGCAGGCACCGAGATGGCCGCAGCGGTGGCAACCCTAACCCAGCTGGCAGATTAGCGACGCACTCTAGGCTAGGCACACACACAGCGCTATGTAGCGGGGGCAAAGGCGTGGTGCGCCCGGCCGGCGGCCCGCAGACGCCGAACCGGCGGCTCGCGCGGCGCGCAGCTGGCCGCCGGCGACCCCGCGTCGCCCGCAGCACGTTCCCCAGCGCAGCTGTGCCGACCTCGGCCGGCCGCCGCGGCTGCCACCCCTCTCGACATCTCGCACAAACGATGCCGAAAAACGTTCAGCATGACTTCAAGAATGGCGGACAGGCCACGCTCCGCTGTGCAGCACGGCGGACAGCGAGCACTTGTCGGCGCCGGCGCTCGGCATTGGGTTTCGCCGCGCACTCGCAGATCCCTCGCTAGCGTGGGCCGCACGTGTGCTTCGTGCAGCGTGCAGCGGCCTCGGCTTGTCGGCGCGCGAAGCCGTGCTCCTTCAACGCATGCCCCTTCCTCCGCAGACGCCGCCTCGACATGCGCCCGCCAGGCACGGCGCCGAGCACGTTGAAACGCACCAGCTCGCCGGCCGCCGGCTCGCTTGTGCAGCGCCGCGGCAGCGTCTCGGTGACAGCGCCGGCGCTACCGCCAGGAACGCGGCCGAAGAAGCAGCGAGCGCCGCACCCTGGGGGCAGACGTGTGGCAATGCGGCCCTGAGCGGCAGCAGACCCGCGGCCGCCACGAAGATGCTGAAGCCGGCGGCGAGGAACGTGCCAGGCTGGGGCGAGACGAATATCAAGGCCGGCCTGCGGGCTTCGTCCCTCCAGGCTGTGCTCTCCAAGCCTCGTCCTTCGCTTCGCACCTCCTCACCATGCGCTTCGCCCTCCTTGCGCTCCTGCTCCCCGCGGCGCTCGCGGCGCCGTTCGAGCGGCGCGCGTCGGCGCTGCCGTACCGCGACCCCTCGTCGAGCCCGACGGTGCAGACGGACAACTACCTCGGCCGCAACAACGGCACGCTGAAGAACGGCCCGGTCGTACGCGGCAAGGCTTTCGACCGCATCGTGCAGGTCTGGTTCGAGGTGAGCTGCCGTGCATGCACAGGATCCCACTCGTGCTCACCTCCTCCGGCAGAACACCAACTTCGCGTCGGCGGCGTCGCAGCAGGCGTTTGCCGACTTTGCCAAGCAGGGCCAGCTGCTCGACCAGTACTACGCCGTCACGCACCCGAGCGAGCCCAACTACATGGCGTGAGTAGGAGGAGACATGATCGGCACAGCCCCGCCGCGCTTCACACTTGTCGACCACTTACGCTCGCTCGCTACGCTCGCTAGCGCCACGTTCGGCGACTTCTTCGGCCTGTCCGACGACTCGTTCAACTACATTCCCGCCAACATCACCAGCATCTTCGACCTGCTCGACGAGAAGCACGTGTCGTACGCGTGCTACCAGGAGTCGATGCAGTCCACCGGCTTCCAGGGCTTCAACAACCAGGCGCCCGACTACTTTACGCCGTCGTCCAACACGCTCACGTCGTACGTGCGCAAGCACAACCCGTGCGCCTTCTCCGAGACGTTTGCGCGCCCCGCGCGCGCCCAGCGCAACCGCAACATGAACGACTTTGCCGCCGACGTCGCCGCCGACGCGCTGCCGCAGTGGGTCTTTGTCACGCCAAACATGGAAAACGACGCGCACGACACGGGCGTCAGCTTCGGCGCCAAGTGGCTGCAGTACTTCCTCGGCGCGCTCGTCAACGACAAGCGCTTCAACTCGGACCGCACGCTCATCATGATCACGTTCGACGAAAACGAGACGTACGCCGTCGAGAACCGCATCTTCACGGCGATCCTCGGCAACGCGCTGCCGCGCAACCTCATCGGCACGACGGAGAGCATGTACATGACTCACTACTCGATGCTCGCGACGGTGCAGGCCAACTGGGGCCTCCAGAGCCTCGGCCGCGGCGACGTCAACCGCACGCTCGCCAACGTGATCCCCTGGGTCGCGGAAAAGACCAGCTGGACGGGCAACGCCGACGTGCCGGCCGCCAAGCGCCCGCTGCTCAACCTCACGGGCGTGTACGCGGGCCCGCTGAGCAACACGCGCAACACGCCCTTCTACGCGCCGCCCGAGCAGCACACCAAGGGCGCTGGCGGCCGCGAGGCGCTGCTGCAGCCGTGCCTCGACGCCTCGGCGACGGCCGACAAGGGCGCGCTGCCGACGCCGCGCGTCGGCGCCAACTACTACGGCTCCCAGGCCAACGTCGGCAGCACGGACACGTGCAAGGTGCAGCCGGGCAAGGGTCCCGCCGGCCCGCAGCCTGGCCCGGCGCCCGCTGGCCCGCAGCCCGGCCCGCCACAGGGCCCTAAGGCGCCCGCCGGCCCGCAGCCGCCCAAGGGCCCCGCTGGACCCAAGTGATGGCGCCGCGCCACGCTCACCGAGACGCGCAGCTGGGTCGAGTGAAGCCCCGGGCCGCAGCTGCGATGCATGACTGAAATTCCTGACCCTTTGGCAATGCATTCCGTCTCGTGTCCCTGCGTGATGTCTACGCCGCTGGGAGTGAGGTCGAGGTTGTGGTGGTGGCGGGAGGGCGCGAGGGCAGACGCAGCGAGCCGCCGTTGCGCTCCTCGCTGCTCCCACGCACGGACCGCCGGCCGCGCGGCGCCGGCCCCTCTCCCGAGTTCCGCCAGAGGAGCAACACTGACGCGGCCGTGCTCAGCTCCTCCACCTCCTGCCACCACCTCACACTCACCTCCAGCCCTCACGCCTCCAGCCCTCACCCCTCCAGCCTTCGCACTCACCAGTCTTCACTCTTGCCTCGCTTCGCTCGGCATGCTCACCGTGGCCACCGACGACGACACGTTCCAGCTCGACGTCGAGCCCGGCACCACGCTCGAGCTGCTCGCCGGCGTGCTCGAGGCCGAGACGGGCGTGCCGGCGGCCGAGCAGGCGCTGCTCTTCAACGGCACGCTGCTCGGCGACCGACAGCGCACGCTCGCCAGCTACGGCGTCGGCAGCGACGATCTCCTGATGCTGCAGCGCCGGCCGGCCGCAGCGGCGCCTGCTCGGGGTGCGCAGCAGGGTGGCGCGCCGTCGTGAGTGTCTGCCGCGCGAGGTGCCGCACGGCGCACTGACAGGGCGCAGCGCCTCGGACCAGGCAGAGATGCTGCGCCAGCAGATCATTGCGGATCCCCAGCTCATGGCACAGCTGCGCTCGGTGCGTGCTCCGCAGCAGGCCACCATGGGTCACACTAATGTCCCTCTAGGCACGGCCGCAGCTGGCCGAGGCGGTGCACGGCCCGCCAGAGCGCTTCCTCGAGCTGCTCAACGCCGAGCGGCAGGCCGCAGACGCCGCCACGCTCGCGCGACAGCGCGCCGAGATGGAGCTCGCGGCCGCCGACGAGTTCGACATCGACGCGCAGCGCCGCATCGAGGAGGCGATCCGGCAGGAGCGCGTCATGGAGAATCTCGAGAGCGCCATGGAGTACAACCCCGAGGCCTTCGGCACCGTCACGATGCTGTATGTCGACTCGGAGGTCAACGGCGTCAAGGTCAAGGCGTTCGTCGACAGCGGCGCGTGAGTGGCGCGCCGGTTCCGAGGCGTGCACAGCTGATGCCCCGCTCTCCACAGGCAAGCCACAATCAGTGAGAAGCAGATGCGGCCGGGCAGCGGCGCCACGGATGCTAATCGCCTCCGCCTCAGTGAGCCCGGACTGTGCAGAGCGCTGCGGGTGCGTACGACTGTCGAGCTGGGCCTGCCAGGGTTCTGACTCTTTCCACAGCATCATGCGGCTCATCGACACGCGCTTTGCGGGCATCGCGCGCGGCGTGGGCACGGCCAAGATCCTCGGCCGCATCGTGAGTGCAGCCGCTGATGCGACCTCGACCTGCCGCTGACAGCACTCGCAGCACCAAGCTCAGGTGCGTGCTCTCCCGCGCGGCACGGCGCAATTGCTGATTCTTGGCACAGCTCAAGCTCGGCGACGAGCTCTTCATCTCCGTCGCCATCACCGGTGCGTCCGTCATCTCTCACATTCGCGCCCTTCGCTCATTAACTCCCAGTAATGGAGGGCAAGGGCGTCGACTTTCTGTTCGGCCTCGACCAGCTGAAGCGCCACCAAATGTCGATTGACCTGGCGCAGAACGCGCTCATCTGCGACGGGCGCAAGATTCGCTTCCTGAGCGAGCACGAGGTGAGGCCCGCGCGACGGCCGACTGGTGCGAGACACTCACGCTGCCGCAGCTGCCCGCCAGCGCCACCTTCGGCGAAGAGGACGCAGCCGCCACGTCGAGCGGCGCAGCAGCTCCTGCGGCCGCAGCAGCGGCTGGTAGCTCGGCGGCGGCGCCCGCGAGCTCGTCCGCTGCTGCGTTAGCGCCGCGAGCACAGGCGCCGCCCGCACCCGCAGCGCCAGCACCTCCGTCCGCACCGGCTCCAGCAGCGGGCTCGCGCTGGCCTGCAGAGTCGGTCCAGCAGCTGCGGGACCTGGGCGCGACAGAGAGCCAGGCGATCGCCATGGTGAGCGACCCGCCAGGCCCCGCCTGCGCACTTTACTCACTCATCCGCAGCTCGATGCCGCAGGCGGCAACGTGGACGCCGCGGCGTCGTTCCTATTCCAATAGCCGAGCCAATGCTATGCGTGCAGAATGCGGCCCTCGGCGTCGAAGCGCTCCAGCTCGCGCGGCGTGACGAGCCAGCCTGCAAACGGCGCATCTGACAGCAGCGGCGGTGGTGCTGGGCGCTCGGCGCCGACAGCTCGAGCCAGAAAGTGTTCCACGGCACGACTGGCGCCGCTCGCGTCGGCGTCGCCCACGCCGCGCGCGTTGGCCTTTGCTCGGCGGTATGCTGCGCTCTCCTGCTTTGCCGCCAGGTAGCTCGGGGCCGGGGTGCTACCTGACGCATCAGCAGCAGTCACTTGTGGAGAGGTGGCAGACTCACTGCGCGGGGTCGAGCGCTGCCGCAGCTGCCTGCGCCTCGCGGAAGTGCGCCAGCTTGCACAGCCGCGATCTGCCCGTCGGTCAGCCACCGGCGAGCGACCTGCACGAGTATGGCTCACCGGCTGGGCGCGCGCAGTGGCTCAAGTGGCCCGGCGCGCTTGGCCGAGGCACCCTGCCGGATGCCGTCGACGATGTTCTCGCTCTTGCCGCGTCCGCGTATCCACGAGACGGCTGAGGCTGGTGTGAGCGAGAGGCAAGAGGCATCACACGCTGCGCTCACATCCGGCGGCCGCGACCATGTGCTCCTCGGCTACGCCGGCAAGGTGCGAGCGGACCGTCTCGCGTGAGCCAGAAAAGTCAGGAGCGACAAAGTGGACGCTAGGGCCGTCGCCTGCGAGGCAGAATCGTCAGCCGCTGCGTCTGCCCTTCCTGAGGCAATGCTCACCGTCCAGACGAGAACCCAGGGCGCGCTCCACGCTGCGCTGCCACTCATCACGCCGCTCGGCCCAGTCCAGGCCGCCGCCGCCCACAAACGCCTCGCGCGCAGCGCGCTCGCCGACGACGAGGGCACCGAAGCGCACCGGCTGGAGGTAGCGCGAGAGCAGCGAGCCCTGCAGGCCGACGGAGCTCCACAGCGCCAGCTTGTCGGTGCAGGAGTGCGAGATGGACGGCAGCGCGTCGGGCCGGCCTGCACTCGTCAGCGAAGATCGTGGACCAGGCCGCGCAGCGCACCTGGCTTGGTGCGGAGAGACGGGCCGCTGTGCAGGCTCATGCGCCCGGCGACCGTGTGGCCCAGCAGCTCGGCATGCTCTGGAGCCGTCGTGTGTCCAGCTGCATCGCCATGACGATCTGCGGCGGCTCGTTGCGCCAGCAGCAGGTCGCTCGACGCATCGCCGCCTGTGGACGCTGTGAGCCATGCATCTCGTGCAACTTGACCGAACGTACAGGGCAGCGTCGAGATGTACCAGACCAGCTCGACTTCGTCCTTCAGCTTCCACCTCGCCTCGCCGGTCTGCTCGAAGATGCAGCCGTCAATCGAGTTGGCAAGCTCGCCCGCCGCGTACTCGCCCGCTGCGTGCTCGGCTACGAGGCGCGCCAGCAGCCAGCTGCGGGCGCCACGCCGGGCCAGCACCTCGGCGTGCGAGTCGCGCAGCTGGTCGCCATTGGCCGTGCACACCTGCTGCGGCAGCACCTTGAGGCCCGTCGCGACGGACACGGGCACGCACTCGGCGCCGAGACAGAGCACGATGCCCGCGAGCACCGTCCACTCGTGCCTGCCGCACGTCAGCCAGGGGTCAGCCAGAGGTCAGGCAAAGTCCGTCGCTGGCCGACTGTTGACTGACCGGCCGTCGGAGCGGCGCGCCGGCTTGGCGCCCTTGGCCGGCAGCGCTTCGTACTGCGCGATGCAGGCGCGGGCGACGAGCTCGGCGCGCGCAGCGTTGCGCCCGCGCCGGGTCGTGCCTGCGTCGGTGCTCATGGATGAGAGGCAAGGGGCGTGGCAGGCGCAGGCGCCGCTCCACGCGCGCCGCAGACTTCTCGGCCGTGACGCGCCCGTGCGCCGCGCTCATCAAGGGTGTCGCGCCTGCCTCCTCATCGCGCTGCCCTTACACCACCACCCGCAAGCATGCCCGCCGGCGCCTCCTCGCGCGACGCCATCGCCCTCTCGTCGGACGAGGACGAGCCGATCCAGCTCGTCAGCGTGCGGCGCAGCGCAGCAGGCCCGGCGCCCAGCACTGCCGCCGCCGCAGCCTCTGCGCCCGGCGCCGCAGCCTCCACATCCAGCGCCGGGCCTGCTGCTGCGCCGAGCTGGACACTCGCGCCCGCCGAGCGTGCTGCGCTCAACGCCGCCCGCGAGGCGCGCAGCAAGGAGCGCAAGCGGGCACTGGGCCTCGGCGACAGCGACCACGACGCCGCCCAACAGGCCCGCCCGGCCTCGCGCCCGCGCGTCGAGGAGAAGCGCCGCGCCTTCGGCACCTTTGCCGACACCTTTGGCCGCGCCGCGTCGCCGAATGACGAAGTGGCCCCGAGCCAGCCTGGCCCCTCGAACACGCATACCGACGAGCGCTTCTGGGATGGCGCGATCAAGGTGTGTCGCCCCGCTGAGCCTCGTCTGTCCCTTCACTTATCACACGCCGCAGCGCTCGTACAACGAGCTGATCCAGCCCGCGGGCGGCACGCGCCTCTCCGAGCTGCTCCTGCCCACGACGAGCCGCAACGCCGCCGGCCTCAAGCACGTGCTCTTCTCGAGCTTCACGCCCGACCCGGCGTGGCTGGCGAGCATGCTGCCCGCGCCCGTCAGCGGCGGCCCAGAGGTGTCGCTCGTGGTCAACGTCAACAAGAGCGGCAAGGTGAGCGGGGCTGGGCGGGAGCTCCCGGGCTGGGCTCACGCTCTCATGCAGCTCGAGCGCGGACAGCGCGCAGACTGCCCGTCGTGGTGGCAGGTCATCAGTCCCGGTGCCGGTGAGCCGCTCGCACAGGCGACGCATCTGCACGTGCTGACTGACCGACAGCGCGCGCGGGCGGCTGGGGCTGCCAGCACGTCAAGTTCATCATGGTCTTCTACCCCGACCGCCTGCGCATCTGCATCCTGACTGGGTGCGTCGCGCTGCATCGCGTCACGCTTGCCACTGACACCGGCGCAGCAACCTCATCGAGTACGACTGGAAGCAGAATGAGAATGTCAGCAGACCTCGCCGCCCGCACACCTCCGGGAGCTGACACTCATGTGCAGCTGGCGTACGTGCAGGACTTTCGCCTGCTGCCGCACGACGGCGATTGCCTCGCCTCGGACGCCTACGACCAGTTCGACCGCCTCTTCAAAAGCTGGCGCCTCACGAAGCGCGAGGACCGCGCGTACCGCGAGCTGGAGCGCTACGACCTCGGCTCCTTTGGCGGCTCGTCTGGCGCGCGCCTGCTGCTCTGCATGCCGTCGCCGGGCCAGGTCGCCGTCAATGGCTGGGCGGCAATCGAGACGCGCGGCCTCGGCCGGCTGAAGCGAATCGTCAAGGACCTCGGCATCACGCCACGCCGCGGCGGCATGCAGATCTCGGCACAGGTGCGTGGACCGGGCTGTGTGCAGGTCGTGCGCTGACACCTGCACAGTGCTCGTCGCTGGGCCCAAAGGTGCGCGGCCCGGCCCACCCTACATTGACCCTGCTGATTCTTGCGCAGACCGATTTCAAATGGCTGCACAACCTGCACCTCATCGCCTCGGGCATGCACCGCATGTGAGTCACTCCACCGTCCCGCACGGACGCCGCTGACGTCTGCGCAGCGTCCCGCTGCCCAAGGCGACCGGCAAGGCGGCCAAGGTGCGCTCGCCGCTGCACAAGGAGACGCTGCTCTCTGCGCCGGACCGCCTGCCGGGCGACGACGCGCCGCGCTTCACCGCCGGCGACCTGCCGCCGATCAAGATTCTCTTCCCGACGGTGCAGCAGGTGCACCGCTCGGCGGGCGGCGTCGGCAGCGGCGGCTGCCACTTTGCGAGCGCGGACAAGTGCGCGCCGTGAGTCTGCATCGCTGCAGACGCGGCAGCAGAGGACTGACGCCCCCTCAGCTACAAGGCGCTGATGCACAAGGCCGAGAGCCAGCGCGGCAACATCCTCATGCACCACAAGCTCATCCTCGCGCTGCAGCCGGGCGTGCACTTCGAGTCGAGTGACAGAAGCGCCTCTGCATTCGCGAGCGGCAGCGGCCGCACGCTCGGCCAGGCGCCGGCCAAGGACGGCGACGCCTCACACACGGAGAGCGAGGCAGAAGACGAGGCGGCGGCGAAGAAGCGCCGCGTCGAGGCCAAGAACCGCGTGCTCGAGGAGCGGCGCCGTGCCGAGCCGGCGGGCTGGCTCTACGTCGGCAGCGCCAACTTCACCGTCGCGGCGTGGGGCACCATCACGCTGGGCGCCGACAATGCGCCGACGGTGCGTGTGGCAGCAGGAGGAGACCTCCCACCGCTGACGCCCCTCCAGATGACGCAGCTGCTCAATCACGAGCTCGGCGTTGTGATTCCCATCGCGCGCGCGGACCTCAGCGCTGCCAAGCCAAGCCTGGCACGCGACGCGCTGGCCTTTGTCCGTGCGTATCTGTGCAGCAGAGCGCGGCATACGCACCCGCTGACCTGCCGCAGATCCCGCCCAGCCGTACGGCCCCCATGACGAGGTCTGGGACCTCAGCGTCCTCGGCCCGCAGTAGCGCCCTCCTTGTACGCCCGGCCCGCAGTAGCGCCCATCTGCACGACCCCATCTGTATACTACTCACCCTCACGACCAATCACACGCCGTCTCTGCGAAGCTCTATGGTTGCCTGTGACCCCTCGCCGCCCCCTCCTCGCCGCAGCTCTTCCTGCTGCGCTAGCTCGTGAGCGAGGCCTCTGACGGCACCGTCTCCTTTGGGTGCTTGGCCTCGTAGTGGATGACGAGCGTCTTGTAGCTCTGTGCAGGCGCATGTCAGCGCACGCCGCCGTGGGCCCGGAGAGGCCACGCACCGGCGCCGGCGTGCGGCAGATGTGGCACGTCAGCTTCAGCGCGGCGGCGCGCCCGGGGATCGTCGACTTGGCCTCCTTGGGCGCGTTCTTCGCCGCCTTTGCCTGCGCTTGCTGCGCGTGGTGTGGGTCAGCACCTGAAGCGCCAGTCGCATACTGCGCACTCACAGCCTTGGCTGCGCCGCGGACCATGGTGGGCAGCTGCGGGAGTGTCGTGTGCGAGAGGCGGGAAGGAGGCAGCGCCATGAGCGTGCAGCACGTGCCGTCCACATTTCCGATTACAACCCGCGCCCGCCGCCGTTGTACTGCCGCACTACAAGCCGCGAAAGTTGAGTATGCGCCTCGGGCCGGCCATTCGAGACGCCTGTGAGGCTGGGACAGTGAGGCTGGAGCATGCTCAGGTTGCCTCACAGGTGCTGCGAGACGCTCGCGGCGGCGGCAAGCGCGAAGGGCAGCTCCAGCACCAGTGCGAGGCGCAGCCGGATCGCAGCGCTCTCGCACGAGCAGCCTGAGCGGGGCGCGTGGACGACGACCGGCATGTTCCCAGGCGACGTAGCGGCAGCCCTCGGAGCACGCTGCGCTGTCGACGTCGCCTGTCCAACGCGAGCATGAGGGCTAAGCGCGACTGCCGGCAGCGGCGCAGCGGCATCGGGCACGCGGTGGTGGGACGGAGGTGGAGCGCGGCGTCGGCGGCGCGCTCGCCGCTGCCGCTCGGCACGACCGGACATCGCTTCTGGCGCCGACGAGCCGCCGGCCGGCCTGCGCTTGCTCCCGCGTGCCGCTTCGATGCATCTCGCCGGCACATGCTCGGCTCAAGCAGTTCAAGGGGTCGCCCTACGACGAAGAAGCATCTCGGCACCGGCAGCGGTGCCGTCGCAGCCGGCGCCATCTGCCCCTCTCGCGCCTCGGCCGCCGTCCGCGCCGGTGCCGCCAAGCGCACCTTGCCGCCGCTCAGGGCGCGTGCCGTGCCTGTCGCGCGAGAGAGCACCCCGGTCCGCCTTCGCCGCCGCATCTGAGGCTCGGGGAGCGTCTCTCGGGCGCCCTTCTGGCGGTGGGCGTCGACGGCGTGCCTTTTGCGCACGCTCGGCCGAGCGGCGCCCGATGCACACGGCCCTCGGGCACGGCGCGTGTGGCGGCGCCAAGGCGGCACGCTGCAGCGCGTGCAGCGCAGATGGCGCAAGCTGAAGAAGAAGCCGGCGGGCGAGCGGGGGCGGGCCTACGGCGGAGCGGGCGACCGGCCAACACAGGAGCATCCCGCGGCTCCGCACCAAGACTCTGACTCTCTGCCGCAAGGCAAGCGCAGGCCCGAGAGGAGCAGCCGGCTCGCAGCGGGCCGCCGAGTGCCGCAAGCGACGAAGCGTCTGCTCGCTTGGCCGCCTTCTGGGCCGCACTTGCGCCGGCCGGGCGGCACAGCAGCGACGCGGCACCGGCGAGCAGCTCGAAGCGCGCTCCACCTGCAGCAGCTTCCAGTCCGTGAGCGGCAGCCGCGTTTTGAGCAGCACCCGCTCCCGCTCATCCGCTGGACCGTGCATCTCTCCTCTTCACCACGACCTCGCTCTGCCACACCGCCATCACCTCCGCACATGGCTGCCGAGTCGCTGCAGCCGCTGCGCGACGTCACGCGCCTGAGTGCGCGTGTCGTGCGTGTGCTCGGCGCCAACCCGGGCAAGTACACGCTACAAGGTGAGGCGGCGAGGACATGCGGCAGAGGGCTGCAGAGATGGGCTAACTCCCACGCGCAGGCACCAACACATACCTCATCTCGGCACCCCAGCCCAGCGGCAGCCCGCGGCGGGGCAGCGCAGGCAGCAGCAGCGGCAGCAGCAGCGCCGTCGCCAGCATCCTCGTCGACACGGGCGAGGGGCAGCCGGGCTACGTGGCGACACTCGAGCGCGTGCTGCGCGGCAGCGACGAGGGCATGGGCGGGCGCCGCAGCCTCGTGACGGACATGTGAGTGCTGCGAGGCGGGCATGCGGCAGCCGCGGCTGACGGCACACGCAGCATCCTCACGCACCGGCACGGCGACCACGTCAACGGCCTGCCCTCGGTGCTCGAGCTGCTCGCACGGCTGCGCAGCGAGGACGGCGGCGCCGCCAGTAGCATCGACACCGACGACACCACGGCGGGCCCGCCGCGCCTGCACAAGTTTCCCGACCCGGCCACCGACGCCGCGCTCGTGGAGAAGCTGCAGGCGCTGCCGGCGGGCTCGTACACGGTGCACAATTCGCCCGCGGGGCCGTCGCCGCTGCACCCGCTCGCACACGGCGACGTGCTGCACGTCGGCGCAGAAGATGACGCATCCACACTCGAGGTGCTGCACTCGCCCGGCCACACGACGGACCACGTGGCGCTGCTGCTGCGCGAGGAGCATGCGCTGCTGACGGGCGACAATGTGCTCGGGCAGGGCACGTCGGTGTTCGAGGACCTCAAGGCGTACATCTCCAGCCTGCGGCTCATGAAGGAGGCGCTCGTGACCTCAGGCGCGTCGCCGCACCTGGAGGAGGAGAATCGGCTGTACCCGGCGCACGGGCCGCACATGGACAACGGGCGCGTGACGCTGGAGCGCTACGTCGAGCACCGCCTGGCGCGCGAGGCGCAGCTGCTCGAGCTGCTGCGCAAGACGCCGCCCGAGGACGACGACAGCTGGACGATTCGCTCGCTCGTCGCCACGCTCTACGCCGGCTATCCCGAGGGCCTGTACCTGCCGGCGGCGCGCGGCATCTGGCTGCACCTGCAGAAGCTGGCGCACGACGGCGCCGAGGGCGCGGCACACATGCGCGGCCAGCGCCTCAGCTGCACCAACGACGCCGAGATGGACGACCTCAAGCTCGAGGGCGAGAACCGCTGGCTGCTGGCGATGGACCAGAAGTGGCGCCTCAGCGAGGCGGTCAAGATGTGAGGCGGGTGCGAAGGAAGACGCGCGTCGGTTGGCGACGCAATATATCCCTGTCCTTCGCGGAGCACGAGACTGTCATTCAGAGAAGATCATGTACAGGAGAGACGCGAAGGAAGGAGATCTACATCGGCGGAGACGCGGCGAGCCGGAGTCGGCGCAGGCTCTCGCTGCGCGCTAGTCAGCGACTGAACGTGCCGCCGCCGCTCGTGTTGCTGCTACTGTTGTTGTTGCCGCCGGTCCCGCTGCTCTGGTTGCCGCCCGACCCGCTGCCGCCGTAGCCCGTCGACTGGCCGTTGTTGCTGCTCGACATGCCGCTGCCCGAGCTGCCGACGCCGCTCGTGTTGCCACCGGTGTTGTTGCTCGTCGACGTCGACGATGCCTGATAGCCGCCGCCGGACGTGCTCTGGCTGTTCAGGCCGCTGAGGATAGTCAGCACCGCATGCAACGCCGAGCACGGTCGGAACTCACCTGTTCGACGTGCCCTGCGTGCGAGCGCCGCCGCCCGAGCCGCCAAAGGAGCTGCCGGACTGCTGACCGCCGCTGTTCGACTGCTGGCCGCTCGACTGATGGCCGCTGCTCGATTGCTGGCCGCCGCTGTTTGAGCTCTGGTTCGTGCTGCCGCCGTAGCCGCCGTTGCCGCTACTGCCTGACGAGCCGAAGCCCGACGAGCTCTGGTTGCCCGTGTTCTGCGACGCGCCGCCCGAGTGGCCCTGCGAGCCATACGATCCTGCGTTGTTGCTGCCGCTGCCTTGGTTGCCGCTGCTGCCATATGCGCCGCCGCCGCCGCCGCCGCTGTTGGTCTGGCCGCCACCGCTGCTGTTGCCACTGGTCGTCTGGCTAGAGTTGTTGCCCGACGGCATCGACGAGGCGTTGTTGCCGCCGCTGGTCGCGTTCGCAGCCGAGCGATTGTCCGGGTTGCTCTTCGACGCCTTGACGCCTGGCACGGTGTCAGCCGCGAGGCGTGAGGACGACGACGCGCGACTTACTCTTCTTCACGTAAGGCTGGCCCGAGTGGCCGTTGTTGTTGCTGCGGGCGGCGCTGTCGCCCTTGCTGTAGCCTGTGATAGCGAGATGAGCACGGGTTGCCGCAAGTGTCACTGCGCCACTCACCCGATCCACTGCCGACGGCGAGCGGCTCGTTCTGGTCACGAGTGAGCACACGCATGGTGATGACATCTATCCAGGACTCACGGCGCGGAAGGGCTTGCTGAGCTTGGCGTCCTCGGCGGTGAGGTCGATCTCGGCGCCGCCGCGCGTGCGGCTGCTCGACTGCGCCGTGCCCGACGACTTGCTGGCGTTGCCGCCGGGCGCGCTCTTGGCGCCCGTGCTGCGGCCGCCCTCGGACGTGCCGCGAGCCGTGCCGCGCGAGCCGCCGCCGGACGACGTGTGCTGGTGGCCGCTGGCGCTGCGCGCCTGGCTCTGTCCGGTGCTGCGGCCGCCCGACGACTGCTGCGCCGTGTGGCGCGACGCCGTGCCGCCGCTGCGGCCCTGCGAGCCCGTCGTGCCGCCGCCGCCGCTGGCGTTGCGGCTGTGCTGGGCGCCCGACGAGGTGGTGGTGCCGCCGCCGCTGGTGCCGCCGGAGCGTCCCGACTGCGCTGCGCCGCCGCCGCCGCCAGAGGGTCCGCGGCCCATCTGCGTGCCGCCGCTGGCGTGCTGCGTGCCGCCGCGGTTGCCATTGCTGTTGTTGCTCGACCGTCCGAACATCCTCATAGGTGAGAGGAGGTGTGAGAGAATGACAGCGAGACGGCGAGCTGGCCGGCGAGGCTGCTCCTTTTGTGCGTCGACGCAGCCGCGCGGCTCGCCCGAGCAGCGCGAGAGGCAACGAGCGGGCGATGCGCCGGCAGCGCCACGCTGTTGCTCGGCGATGACGCCTGAGCGTGATGTCAGTGCTGCCATGCTGCGCAGCGCACGTCCGAGTACATCTGGATGCTGTGCGGCAGCGCAGCAGCGAGCATTCGCGGCGATGGGCGCGCGACGCGCGGCTACTGCGAGGCGGCCTGTGCGCCGCGGCGGCTTCGTCTGTCTGGCGGCCCGAGCGGGCGTGTGAGTAGCGAGTGCTGCGCGGCATGATGCGACTGACTGGCGTGCTGCTCTGGGCAGCGAGCACCTCGCAGCAGCCGTCATGCCGTGACGAGGCTGCAGCGACGAGGCGGCGAGGGCTGCTGCTGCTGGCGTGGCGGCACGCATGAGCACGGCGAGCAGCCGCACGCGGGGTCCACCCACGCCGCACTCCCATCGCTCGGCCACCCACGCCGCACACTCATCGCCCGGCCTCTCACAGACAATCGCGCGCTGCAGCTGTGGCATTCCTTAACGCACAGTGGCATCGATGTAGGGGAGCTGATATTGCACACGCGTCGTGGGTGTGCGACGGCGCGCTGCCCAGCGTCCTCTGGGTGTGCAGCAGCCGTGAGGCCGCGCGAGGGGGGTATGCTCTGCCCTCCGGCCGATGTCGAATACGGCGAGCCCGTCCGATGCGCGCTGCGAGGTGCGGCAGCACGCGGCCGGGCGAGGAGGGTGGAGAGAAGGCAAGATGGGCGAGGGCCAGCGAGCGTTGATCAGGCGCGCTTCTGCAGCGCCGGCCGAGACACGTGCGAGGGAGTCGCACGCGCGCAACAGCACCCTTGACCTGGACCGACCTCCACCTCGCTGCACCGCTCCTCACCCCTCTACCCATGCTGCTGCTGCGCCCGCCGCGCCTGCCGCTGCGTCGCCTCCAACGCATGTCATCCTCGCTCGCCGCCGGCAGCTGCGTGCCGTGCCGCCGCGGCGCACCCGCGCTCAGCGACGCCGACGTCGCCGCGCGCCTGCAGGCCCTCGGCGGCGCCTGGCAGCTGGCGCCGTTTGCCGACTCGGGCGTGCCCGTGCTGCAGCGCAGCGTGCGCTTCCGCAACTTCCGCACCGCCCTCGCCTTCACCAACGCCGTCGGCGCCATGGCCGAGGCGCAGAAGCACCACCCGGCGCTGCTCACCGAGTGGGGCAGCGTGCGCGTCGCCTGGTGGACGCACGCCATCGGCGGGGTGCGTCGGCGCGGCCTGCGTGTGCGGCGTGGCGCGGCGCTGACGCGGCATGGCAGCTGCACGACAACGACTTCATCTGCGCGGCCAAGACGGACGAGCTGCTCGCCGCCGCCGAGGGCGTCAAGGAATGACGACGCTATCTCAATGAGCGGCGCACAGCGCGCGAGGTGGGGATCATGTGTGTGTGATGAGGACGGACACAGGGGTATGAGATGGACGAGAAGGCGTCAGGCGAAGCGCAGCTCCGCAAGACCAGGCAGCCGGCGCGAGGGCTGCGGCGCGCCCCTGGTGGTGCAGTACTGTGACATGCCCACCTGGCGCGGCAGCGGCGGCGGCGTGGTGAGCAGCAGCTCGGAGATTGGCGGCAGCGAGCGGGATACCGGCGGCAACGAGCGCGTCGGCGGCGCCAAGGATGGCGTCTTGCTGGCCGATGCATCTAGCCGGTCGAAGCTGTCGACGAGCGTGCCGACGGAGCCGCTGCCGACGCGCGTGCTGTAGCTCGAGTCGCCCGACGCCGACAGGCTCACGCTGCCGTGGCTCACGTGCCGGCGCGCCCGCACGGCCGAGAGCACCGAGTCGGAGCGGTCGCGGAAGGCGTTGCGGGCGCTGGGCGCGGCGCTCGTCGGACTCGGGTACGGCAGCGTGCGTGAGGGGTCCGGCTGGCGACGCATGCTGCCGCCCAGCTGTGCATGCTGTGTGGCGTGCGAGGCGAGGCGCGACTCGGTCAGCGGCAGCGTCGCCTCGGACGGCACGGACGGCAGCCACGGCCGGTCGCGCCCTTCTCTGACGTCGTAGCCGACGATGTGTAGGCGAGGCTGGCTGGGCGGCAGGAACACCTCGCTGCCCGAGTCGCGATGCCGCGTGGCCGCGCTGGGCTGCGAGGCGAGCTTGGGCGCGTGGAAGTACTGCGGGCCGCCGATGCGCACAGCGACGTGCTGCGACGGCACGCGAGCGCCGACGTCCGACACGGAGCGCAGGCGGTTCATCGCCGCCACGTCGGGGCCGCGCTGCAGACCGAGCTCGGCGGCACGGGTGGGCGACAGGCGCCGTGCGGGGGGCAGCGTGCGGCCCTGCGGCGCTCGGCGCACGTCGTCGCCGTGGCGCAGCGCCACGAGCTCGCTGGCGGCGGAGAGCGTCATGCGCCGGTGCTTCTGGCGCTTGTTCTGGAAGAAGACTTGCACTGTGTGCACCGTCAGTGCCGTGATCAGGCGCTACCACCTCTGCCCTGCTCACCCTTGCGTGGCGACAGGCCGAGCTCCTTGGCCACGGCCTTGCGCTCGTCGGTCGAGGGAAAGTGGGTGCGCTCGAGGATCTTGTGCAGCACGCTGCTCTGGCGCGACGTGAGCAGCTTGCGCGGGCGCTTGCGCAGGCCGCCGTCGTCGCGCAGAAAGGGGAAGCGCGCCTCAAGGTCCGCCCACGCATTGTCCGGCTCCGAGTCCGACGTGCCCGTGTCGCGGCGCTCCATCTGCACCGACTGTGCCGACGAGTACGGCGCATCGTGCGACGGCGGCGGCGAGTCGGAGGCGAGGCTGGACATGGCGGATGGTAGGGGGCAGCGAGAGAGAGGCGTGGGCTGCGAGCCGCGGGTGGCTAGACCTTATGAGCAGGAGACCCGCTCGAAGGGACAAAGGAGCCCATCCTGCAGAGGCACAGCCGGCAAGAAGCCGCTCTCGCGGCAGGTGGCGCAGGCACATCAGCGCCCGTCCGCCGATCTGGCGCCGAGGCGTGTCATCACCAGCATAGGGGCAGCGACCCGGCGAGCTGACGTGCGCGAGCGGCCCGAGCGCATATGAGCCTCGCGGCTGCTGCGACGGCGACAGACCTTGGGCCATGGCGGCAGGCTACGGAGGCATGAGCGGCAATGCGCTCGCTGCAGTAAGAGTGCGCGCTTGCGCCCCTCGCGCGCGTCTCTTGTTCGTCCGCCACGCGCTGATCGTTGTTCGGCGCTCCCTGCCGTGCCGCACAAGAGCGCGGACCCACGCTGCAGTCCTGCCCATAATTCTACGTAGCGCTCTCTCGTCGAGATTGGCCAGTTGCCATGCCATGCCGTGCGGCGCTATCATGCGTCTGCGTGCTGCGCGAACAAACATGGCGCGCGCGACCGTCGGGCCTTGGCGGGGACTGAGGAGCACTTCCTCGTCGCTGGCAAACTCCGGCCGCCGCTCCGACTTCGCTGCCCATCAGGCACAGCGGATCGGCTCGGAGAGTGTCCCGATGGCCGGGACAACGCTCGATTCCCGCACTAGCTGCCACTGTCTGGCCCTCGTCCTCTCGCATCATCAGCCCGCGCGCCACCTCGCTCAGCGGCTCGCACCTCATCAGCGGCTCCTTTGTCCACCGCTGCCTGCTCTGGCTCGCATGAGCAATGAGCTGCTCTGATCGCCGCTCTGTCCGCACGCATGAGTCCTGTCCCGTGCGGGCCGCCGCATGACGCTGCGTGCTGGCACACGCGGCGCCTGTGATTCGCTCTCCCCCCCGAGACATAGCGCAGATGAGAGATGCGGCAGGCGTGAGCGAGCCAGGTCGGGCGCCTGCCTGCTACTGCGTTGATGCTATGAGCGCTTCGTACGCCTGGAGCCGCGGGCGGAGGGCCTGCTGCGTGGCGTGCGAAGTATCTAGGAGCGACGCCGCCGCTTGGCTAGTGCTCGCGCCGGCGCACAAAGCACTGTCTACTCATTGTCTCCGTGGCGTGGGAGAAAGGAGGAATGCACGGCGTCGGCAAGCTTCGAAGAAGCAACCCGACAGCGCAGGAACGGCCGTCGCGGGCCGAGGGCCAAGAGCGCAGCACGACGAGCGCGCGATGTGCTCGTCAGGGCGGCGTGAGTCACACGAGAGCGGACGCTCCAGTGGTCGTACAATTACTGATGCATCGGGCTGTGCACATGACGGGCGCAGCGCGGGCTGCGAAGCGAGGCAAGAAGCGCTGCGGCGAGCGAGCTCGTTCGCAGGCGCCCGCAGCGGTCTCGCTGTGTCCGGCGCTTTCGCATGGATGAAACGCGCAGCGAGTGCGGCCCCTGATTTGCCAGCAGGAGAGGTGCGAGCGGGATGAGCTCGCCGCGCCGCAGCGCAGCGGTGGATCGGGCTTGCGCGGGCCAGTGCGGCGCGCATGAAAGTCGAGGCGGTGCAAGCGGCTGTGTCTGCTCGTCTGGGGTGCGAGCGGCGAGCTCGACGGCCGGTGCCGGCGAGGCAGGTCTCACAGGATGACTTGGCGCGGCTACATGGCCGAGATGAGGACCCTGCATAGATGAGCTCGGGCTTGAGCGCGGCGGGGCAAGGCGCGACGAGGCGCGGCAGCCTGGCGCTACAGCTCGGCGGCCTCCCACGCGAGCACGTCGTCGATGTTGACCTCGCCGAGCGGGCCCATGGGCGCGCCGCCGTCGAGCACGTGGGGCATGTTGGGAAAGAGGCGCTGGTAGCACGGCTTGCCCGGCGTGTTGAAGTGGCGGTACGGCTCGAGCGGATTGAGGCGCGTCGAGCAGAGGAAGCAGAAGTGCGTGCTGGCGTGGCGAGGGATGAGCGTACGGCGGCAGGGCTCAGCCAGCGGCACGACGCACCGGCACTTGCCGCACGTCATGTGGTGGCAGCCAAAGGCCAGCTCGATGGAGACCTGCAAGAGCGTGAGCCATCTCCACTAGACGGACTGCCGCCTGACTCACCGCACACGACGGGCACTTCTTGGCGTTGGCCTCCATCCACTCGCGGTTCGCCTGCTCCTCCATCTCGGTGCGCACGAGGCGCTCGAGGTTCGCGCGTCCGAAGCGCTGCTCCATCTTGAGGCGCTCGACGGAGCCTGGCTCGTGCGACTGGTACTCCTGTACCAGTGCCGACGACGAGGCGAGCGAGCACGGCGAGCGCCCGTGCCACACCTTGAGGCAGTACGCGCACACCGTGAAGCTGCACTTTGGGCACTCGCGCATCGACTCGTACGACGTGCCCGCGTCGCTGGGGTTCATGCGGGCGATCTGCGCAAGTGTCAAGGTGAGCACTTCGGGGAGAATGCTGCTGCTACTCACCGCATGGCAACCTTGCCGCGGGCATACGACGGCCGTCGGATCTGCTTCTGCCTCTGCCTTGCTCCGCAGCCACCCAAGACGGCCCACCATCACCTCGCCAACGAGAGGCAGCAGCTCCTTGTCCTTGATTGCGCCTACTTTCTCCTCCACTGCAGCAACTCCATTTGCCGCGGGCTGGATTGACGAGCTGTGGCTGTTCTCGAGCTCCACGCGGGCTTTTGTGCAGCTCGGATCCGGACAGGACGAGGCCTGGCGGTGGTAGCCCTCGACGATCATGCTGCCGAGGTAGCCAGAGAGACACTCCTGGCAGAAGCTGCGAGCTTGATGTCAGCACGGCGGATGCCAATCTGCACGGCATGTACTCACACGTGCCCGCACCCCTCCAGCTTCACACATTTGGTCCCTGCCCGCTCCTCGAGGCAGATGCCGCAGCCGTACCGCTCGCCTTCGAATTCCTCCTTCGAGGCGATCTTGTCGTACGCCAGCAGTCGCGCCACAAGACCGCTCCCGCGCTTCTCCTCCAGGCACAGCCCGTCCGGCGTGGAGAATGGGCTGGCGCCCTCCCAGAGGCCCTGCAGCAGCCAGTCGGCCCAGGTGAAGAGGATCTCGGAGTGCGCCTCTTGCCACTGCTCGAGGAGCGAGGCCATGAGCCATGCATGCGCCTCGGAGCCGGCGGGCAGCCAGGGCGCCGACAGCGCAGCGATGACGGGCGGCGCCTGCAGCGGATAGAGCGGCGGCAGTGCGAGGGTGAGGGTGAGCGGCGAGAGGTGCGCCAGCTGCAGCGTGGTGGCGCGGCTGGGATCGGAGGGCCCGGCGACGGGCGGCTCCACCTCGCCGTCGGCGCCCTCCTGCGCGGCCGCATCGCCATTGCGCGGGCGGCTGCGTCGCTGGCGCCGGCCAGGCTGCTCGCCGGCCTCGCGCACCACGACGTGCGTGCGTTGCGGCAGGCGGGGCGCGACGACGAGGCGCAGGCGCGCGTCGCCGAGGGCGTGCAGCGCGGCGGCGGGCAGGATGTGGCGCAGCGCCAGCAGCTCGTCGGCCTGCAGTGCGGCGCAGTGGGCGAGCTCGACGGGCGCGGGCGACGCCATGGTGAGGTGGTGAGGAGAGAAGGAAGCGCAGCAGCGGGTCCAGCGTCCCGTACGGCCCTGGCCGCGGCGGCGTGTGGAGGCACGGCGCCGCGCGCTGCTGCTCCCACGCTCGCTTATGTCAGCCGTCAGCCCACGCCCGATGGTCAAGGGCTGAGAGGCCGCAGGTGCAGACTGCAAGGCACCAGGCAAAGCTCAGCCACAGACTGCAGTGTGTCGGTGCGGTGCGAGCGGTGCTGTCGGGCTGACGCTGCCGCTCGGTGGCCGGCGTGTCGTGTGCGCGACTGCCGCGCCGATGTGGCGGCGGCGCGAATGCGGGGAAACGACGGCAGCAGCGCGCGGGGAAGGCGGCGCGGCGAGAGGCCGGAAGCCGAAGAGCGGCGACATCAGCAGCGAGCCCACGCCGCGCTTACGCCTCGCTCCGCACCACCACACACCCCACACACATCGCCCACCATGGTGCCCGCACCCAAGCCCGCGTCGCGCTCGTCGATCAGTGCGTCGGCCGTGCGGCGGCGAGGTCGTCGCTGGCACTGACCCCTTCGCCAGTGTCGCTGATGCGCAACGTGCACAACCCCGCCTGCCCCTGCCACGGCTGCCAGACGGCACGCGGCGGCATGAACATGGCGCGCGCCGGCCTCAACATGATCCAGGGCCACAATGCGCAGCCGGGCAACAATGCGCGCGGCTATGCACGGCCGGTGGACCAGGCGCTGAGCAAGGACTACGCCTTTGAGGTGCGGCAGTAGCAGCAGGCGCCCGTGCTCGCGGCGGCTGACACAATGCACAGCTCGCGGCGTCCAACATCCGCTACGGCGAGGGCGTCACGCAGGAGGTCGGCATGGACTTTGCCAACCTGCGCACGGGCAAGGTCGGCGTCTTCACCGACCCGACGGTGCGGAACTTGACGGCGATGAAGCAGTCGATCGAGTCGCTCGAGAAGGCCGGCGTCAAGTACGAGATCTTCGACCGCGTGCGCGTCGAGCCGAACGACAAGAGGTGGGTGCCGGGCGTGCGCCGCAGGGGGTCTGGGTGCTCACGCGTCGCCGCAGCTGGGCAGACGCCATCTCCTTTGCACGCGCAAACGACTTTGGCGCGTGTGAGTCGCCGCAGCTGGGCGAGTGGTGTGCCCTGGCTGATGCTGCGCAGTCCTGGCCGTCGGCGGCGGCTCGGTGATGGACACGGCCAAGGTCGCGAACCTGTTCACGTGCTACCCCGAGGCGGAGCTGCTCGACTTTGTCAATGCGCCGATCGGCAAGGGCATCCCCGTCGACAAGCAGCTGCGCCCGCTGCTCGCCGTGCCCACGACGGCCGGCACTGGGTGAGCATCCCGAGCCACGGCCCTCGGCCCTCGCTGACACGTGCTGCAGCTCCGAGACGACGGGCACGGCCATCTTTGACCACTCGGCCACGTCGGCCAAGACGGGCATTGCGTCGCGCGCCATGCGGCCGCTGCTCGGCATCGTCGACCCGCTGAACACCGAGACGTGCCCGACGGCCGTGCACGTGTCGTCCGGCCTCGACGTGCTCTTCCACGCGCTTGAGGTGTGTGGCGTGCATGGCTGTTGCCAAGCAAGGCACTGACACACACGCGCGCAGAGCTACACGGCCATTCCGTACAACGAGCGCAGCCCGCGTCCGTCCAACCCGCTCAACCGGCCGGCGTACCAAGTGAGCGTGGCGCTAGGTCCACCGTGCTCCATTGGCTGACCCTGCGCAGGGCCGCAACCCGATCTCCGACGTCTTCTCGCTGTGGGCGCTCAAGCAGACGGTCAAGTACCTGCCGCGCGTGGCGCGCGACCGCACCGACACCGAGGCGCGCGGCCAGATGCTGCTCGCCGCGACGTTTGCCGGCATCGGGTGAGTGCCGCGAGTGCGCCATGCGTCGCGGCGCTGACGCCACGCTCCAGCTTCGGCAATGCCGGCGTGCACCTCTGCCACGGCATCAGCTACCCAATCTCGGGCCTCAACAAGACGGTGCGTGCAGGCGTGCCGCACTGACAGCCACCACGCTGACCCCCCCCCCCCCCTTCGCCACCCCCAGCTCACCAAGTACAACCACCCCGGCTACCCGACGGACCACCCGCTCATCCCGCACGGCCTCTCGGTGTGCCTCACGGGCCCGGCCGTGTTCGAGTACACGGCGCCGTCGGCGCCCGAGCGCCACCGCGAGATTGCGGCCATCTTTGGCGGCGAGGAGGAGAGCTCGGCAATTGCGCGCATCCCGGACCACGAGGTGTGAGTGGCGCGTGGTGGCCACGCATGCCCCCGTGCTGATGCCTTTACTTGCACAGCGGCCAGCTGGTGTACGACCGCATCGGCGACTTCCTCACCAACACGCTCGGCATGCCGCGCGGCCTCGCGGCGCTCGGCTACAAGGACGAGCACAGTGCGTGTGCTGCCGCGATGATGCCGCGAGTGCCGCCACTGACCCACCCCTGCAGTCCCGGCGCTCGTCAAGGGCAGCATCCCGCAGCGCCGCGTGCTCGACCTGGCGCCCGGCTTCGGCGAGAGCGACGGCATGGAGCACCTGACGAGCATCATTGGGCGGAGCATGCGCTACTGAGCTGGAGGCCGCGGACCTGTGACGATTTGCAATCCTACTGCTCGATGTGGACCGGTGATGGCCGAGGTGTTGGACGGAGTGTTGGTCTGCGGCCGGCGTGCTTCCCACGCACGGCGCGCGACGCGTCTCGGCCGCCGCCGCTCGATGTGGAGCCGCGTCATGGCTTCCTTCTGCACCCTCACATGTCGCGCCCCTGGCGCACGCCGCAGCCCGGCGCCGCCGCCTGGGACGCCGCCGCCGCCGCCCGCTCGCTCTCCACCTCGCATCTCTCGACGCGCACCAATGCCTCGTCGGTGGCGTCGTCGAGCAGCGCCTCGCGCCTCTCGCTGCCCGCGGCGTTCGGCACGCTCGACGGCGCCGACGTGCGCTTCTTCGACGTCGTCGTCGCCGCCACGCCGCGCGGCGCCGGCGACTTTGCCAGCCTGAAGCGCGCCTACAACGGCGTGCGTGCGCTGCCGCTGCCGGCGGCGTGCGACGAGGCGCAGGACGCACGCCTCTGGGACCTCACGCTCAGCCTGCTGCAGGTGCGCGGCGCCGACTGGACAGACCGCTGGGAGCGCGTGCGCGAGGCGCTCGGCCTCGAGCCGCGCACCGAGGAGGAGAGCGGGCTCGGCGAGAGCACGACGGGCGGCGAGACGAGCGCCACGTCGGGCAGCAGCTCCAGCAGCGACGAGGCCAGCGACGAGGCGTGGCGGCAGCCGCCGCGCCAGACGATGCGGGTGCCTGTGAGGGACGTGCCGGTGCTCTCGCGTCCGCAGGGCCCACGGCCCGTCTCGTGGCAGGGCCCGACGGCCGCCACGGCCACCGTCTCGCCCACGCCGCGGCTGCGCGCCCGCTTCGCCGACATTCCCGCCTCGCTCGGCTCCACCTCGTCCTCGTCCGACACGGCGTCGACGCGCACCGTCTCGCCCGTGCCGAGCCCGACGCCGCCGCCGTACACTGCCGCCCGCGCGCCCGTCTCGCGCGACGAGAAGCTGTCGGGCGCACTGGCCACCCTCACCGTCGAGGATGCCGACGGCGGCCGGCCTGCCGCGCCGTCGCAGCGGCGCTTCGATGCGCTCATCTCGCGCTCGCGGTCTGAGCGTGCCACGCTTGCAGCACAAGAGGCGGCGCGGCGAGCCGCAGCGGAAGAAGAAGCGTTGCGCCCGCTGGTACGCCTGGCCGAGTCTACAGACCGCCGCCTTTCGCTGGGTCGCGCGCTGCGCTGGTGGCTCGACCGGACGCGCGCAAAGCGCAGCACACTGGCGCGCATCGACCAGGCGCACGCCCAGGTCGTGCGCGCAAAGGCGTGGGAGGCATGGACCGCCAAGCTGGCGAGGGTGCAGCAGCGGCAGACGCTGTCCGAGCACGTCGACGAAGTCCGGTGCCGGCTCAGCGCCTGGCGCGTCTGGCGCCGCCGCGTGTCGGACAGGACGGAGCACAAGCGGGCCGAGCGGGCACGCGCGCTGCGGCAGAGCTGGGAGCTCGTCAGGCAGAGACGGGAGCGGCGTCTGCGAGAGGCGCACTGGCAGGTGAGTGCGAGTGCTTGGCTGCGCAAGCTTGTCGCTTTGCTGAGGCAGCGCTGTGTCAGGCATGGCGTTCGGCTTTCCAGCTTCGCCTGGCGGATCGCTTCCGCGAGGCGCATCTTCTCGAGGGCGCCCTCGGGGTCTGGCAGCTCAGTCTGGCGCGACGCCGCAAGCTTGCGGACGCAGAGGAACAGTTCGTCGCTGGGCGGCGCTTCTCGCTCGCCTCGTTGGCATTCTCACGCTGGCTCCAGTCGAGCCGACTGAGCATTGCGGAGCGCGAGCACCGCGCGGGCGCCGACATGCGGGTGCTGCAAGGCGCTTGGGCGACGTGGCGTCGTGGCAGGTGAGTCGTGCGTCTCTACACGCCTTCGTCGCCTGCTGACAGCCGCGCAGCTCTCTCGGCCAGCTGGCGCGCGCCATGGCCTCGCACCGGATCAAGCGCGCGGGCCTGCAGTCGTGGATGGAGGCACTCGCCGCACGCACGACACAGCGGCGCAAGGAAGCGCTGGCGGACCGATGGCGAGCGCGGAGAGACAAGCGCACATTTCTCTCTGCATGGCGCAGCAAAACGAGGGATGTCCGGCAGATGGAGGGCCAAGCAGGCATCCTGCTCGTGCAGCGAGACACCCGGCTCCTGGCGCACAGCGTCAAGGTCTGGATGCTGGCAGAACGAGGCGCGCTTCTGAACCGCGTCTCGACGGGCAACTGCTTGCGCTCGGCCTTCGAGACGTGGCGACGCCGCTACTCAGTGCTCGTCGTGTCGCTGCAGCAGCGCGAGGCGCAGCTCACGGCCTCGCTCGATGCCAGCGTCCTCGCCCGCGTGTTCGGCCAGTGGTCGCGCCTGGCGGACCTACACCGCGCCACGCTCGAGCTGGCGGCGCGCCGAGACGCCCGCCTGGTGCTGGCTCGGACGTGGTCGGCCTGGTCGCAGCGCTTCGGCGCTGTCAGAGTGCGGGAAGAGCGCGCCGCCATCGTGGGCGAGTACATCTGCATTCGCGGAGCCTTCCGAGCCTGGACGGCCCAGATGCGCGAGCGGCGGCTGGCGGGCGTGCTAGAACGCAGCGATCGTCGGACCACATCCAAGGCCCTTTCCAGTGAGTGCAGCGTCGCGCCAGGCCTCCATTTGCTGACTCCATCCAGCCTGGCACGCGCGCACGGCGGAGCGCGGCCGAGAGCGTGTGGCGGTGGCGTCCATGCGCGCACGAGCTCAGGAGCGCACGATGCGGGAGGCCCTTGAGCGCTGGACGCGCCGCGTCGTCGATGTGCGGCTCGCCTTCTTGTCTGCCGCCGAGCGAAGCGACGGACAGCTGCTGCAGCGCGCCTGGACGGTGTGGACGGCGGCGCTGGCGCGGCAAGGCGATCTCGAGAAGCTGGGTCTGAGCTTCATCGACGTGAAGCGAGAGGGTAAGCCGCAGATGGCCGTGCCTGCCTGTGCCCGGCTGACACGGCGCGGCAGACAACACGCGGCGCATCTTCAGCCGCTGGCTCGGCGCCATGCGCACGTCTCGCACGCGGCGAGAGAACGCAGCGGTGTTCATCGAGCAGAAGCAGCGGCGCATGCTCGAGCAGGCTTGGACGGCTTGGTCGGATCGCCACGCCGAGGCGTGTCTTCGCCCGCTGGTGCGTCCAGCCGGTGGTGCTCACTGGGCCGTTCCACTGACGCTGTGGCGCACAGGAGTATCGCGTAATGCTGAATCGGCAAGACTCCGTCGTCCGGCGGATGCTGCAACGCTGGCAGCAGGGCACGCGCGTGCTGCCAGCGCTGCGCTTCGACCACACTCGCCTCATCCGGGCGGCGTGGAGCCAGTGGCGCGAGCGCGCTCCGGCAGCTGCGGCCTCGCGGCGCGCTGTCGACATGGACCGCAAGGGCATGCTTGGCAAGGCCATGCGCCACTGGATAAAGGCCGCCAAGGCGAAGCGCTCCATGCGCGCGGCTGCGTGAGTCGACCGCGCGGCACAGTGGGATTGTATGCTGACGAGTCGGCAGGCGATTCGGCGGTCCCTCGATGGCGCGGCTGCGGGCCGCAGCGCACAGTCGCAGTGCAAATCCCTTTGCCCAGGCGCCGCTGCCCGCCATCCCGGCTGCGCTCAGCAGCAGCAATCTCTCTCTGCTCACGGACCGCCCGGCGAGACCGCCCGCGGAGGCTCCCCCAACGTTGGCGCGCCTTACCCAGGCGAGGCCAGAGGAGTGCAAGCCGCCGACGTCGACTGCGCCCAGAGCAGAGACGCGCCGCCCGCCGTCACGACCCGCAACAGAAGCGCCGGTCAGGAGCGCAAGCGCCGTGCCCATGGGCGATGCAAATGCGCTGCGCCGCTGGGCGTACGGCGTGTCGTCGGCAGCTGGCGAGCAGCCGCATGCTGCTGCCGCTCGCAGCGAGCTGCGCACGCTGCCCTCGGCGCGTCGGCCACGCCTCGAGGCACTGCCTCGCTCGGGCTCTGCGCCCTCCTCTGTCCATTCGCACGCCGCCGGAGACGACCGCAGCGCCGCGCGCCGCTCGCCCTCGCCCGTCCCGTCGCGCGCTGCCCGCTCTGAGGCGACGCTGCGGCCCTCTGCGCGCCGCGAGGCCTCGGAGCGGCCGGCTGCGCGCGATGTCGCTCGGCCCGCCGCGCGCGACGAAGAGGCGCTGGCCGCGCTGCGGGCCCGGCGAAGAGAGCGGGCGCGCGAGTAGTGCAAAGCGTCCCGCACACTGCAATGATACCATGGATTCGTCACATCTGCGTCTCGGCCTCGGCCGCGTCTGGGTCTGCCGGTGCGACCGCATTGACGCCCTCCGCCGGTGCCTTGTCTTTCCGCTGTGCTGAGCCCCGCTCGATGTCCCCTGCGTTGTCGATGCCGTCCTCGGGCATGACGCTCAGCGCGCGTGTGAGCTCGTCGACGGCCGTCCACAGCGTGCCCTGCACGCGCCCAAGCAGGCGCAGGCGCTCCTCCAGGCCACGGCGCGTGCCGCGCGACAGCTCGCGCAGCTGCTCCGGCGACAGCTCGTCGAGCAGCTGCACGCCGCCCGACGGGCCGGCGAGATGGCCGTTGGCAGCGAGCCCGACGCCGAGCGGGCCGTCCATGGCGGCAGACGAGGGCGTCAGCAGCGGGTGCGGCAGGCGAGCCTCGTACTCGTCCGCATAGGCCGGAATGAGCGCCGGGTCGAAGAGCGGCACGAGATGCGGCGCGGCCAGCGAGGCGTGCGGCGCGGAAGGCACCTGCGACGAGGGACCAGCGGCGGGCGCCGGCGCTGGCGCAGCACGCGAGGGGCCCGCGTCAGACTCGAGGCCAAAGCGTCGCAGAGCGGCCCTGCGTGCTGCCTCTCGTGCATCGAGCGGGTCCGACGAGTCGCCCGGCGCGGTGTCTTGCTCGTGTGTCGGCTGGACACCTGCGGGCGCCTCGGCAGCGCCGCTGCTCTCGCCCGCTGGCGCGGAGGCATAAGGCACGCCAAAGGTCCACGGCGGAGGCGGCGCGCGCCGCGTATCCCGTCCGGACGTCGACGGCAGCTGCCACATGTTAGGAGCCTGAGCAGCCGCGCCCGCTCCTTCGCCAGCGCCGCGGAGGAACGAAGCGGCAATCGCTCGGCGCAGCTCTGTCGGCGTATCGCGCGCATCGAAGATGCCGGCGCGAGCTGCTGACGGCGCCGTGGCCTGTGCAGCCCCTGGCCGCTCTGCAGCCTGCGCAGCTGCTGGCGGCGGCGCGTTGCGGTTCGCGTAGTCCTGAACAAAGGCGCGAATCGCGGGGTGCAGGTGTCCTTGGTCGCCGGCATTGCCGCCCGCCGCAGGTGCAGCAGGCACGGCAGCCGGCTGTGGAGGCGGTGCAGCTGCCCGCGGCGGCGGCGGCGGCGGCGGCGGCGGCTGGTCGAAGACGGTGCGGCGGCACGTCGGGCACGACTGCTGCCGCTCGAGCCACGACCGCAGGCAGTGGAAGTGGAAAATGTGCCCGCACGGCAGCTTCTTGGGCGTCTCGTTGGGCCCCGCCGGTGCTGGTGCTGCCGGCGCCTCGGCCGCGGCATCACGAGCCGCCGCGTCGGCCGCGCCACGCACCATCATCTCCTCGCGGCAGATGATGCAGGTGCCGTCGCCCGAGTCGAGCTCCTGCGCGGTGGCGTCGGGGAAGCGGCGCTCCATGTTGCGCGTCGCCGCGCGGTAGCGGAAGAAGTGCTGGATGCGGCTGAGGAAGGAGCGCGCCGTGAAGAAGACGTCGCGCACCATGTTCAGCGGGAAGCCGTAGTACGTCAGGATGAGGAAGAAGAACGTGAGGTACGTGGTCAGCTTGAGGAAGTCTGCGGCAGGGGTCAGCAGTGGCAGTGAGCGGACGACAGGACTGGCCGCACCGGTGATGACGTCGACGGCAAAGATCCACATGCTCTTGGCCTCCCACGGCTCCTGCTGGCGCACGTCGTACGTGTTGATGGCGTACTTGGCCATGGTGCTGAGCAGCTGCGCGGTCAGGATCATGAACTGGGCGGGCGTGTCAGCCAAGCCCGAGCGGCGCCACCGCACGCCTCGGCTCACCTCGGACGCAAAGATGATCATGACCCCGACGCGCTCGCGCTGCAGGAGGATAACCTCGACGGCGAAGATGACGAGCGACACGTCGACGCAGAGCAGCGTCCAGAAGAGGCAGTTCATGCGCACGTGGAAGCTCAGCGGGATCGTCGGCGCCTGCTCCATCTGAGGTGTGTGTGAGCGGGGGGCATGAAGGTGCGTGCTGGCCGACGCAGCTTGCAGCTCGCCGCTCAAGGAAGCCAGCCCAGCACTCACCCACTCGACGCGGTCGGAGCTGAGCCAGTGGAACACCTTGAGGAAGAGCAGCGTGCCGAACATGAGGATGAACCAGGCATCGAAGCTGTCGCGGAAGATGGTCATGGCGATGAGCGACTCGGTGACGGCGTACCACGAGCGCTCGTAGAGATGCTGCGGGCGTGTGTCAGTATGCAGGGCGGGCCCGTCGCGGCAGAGCGACCGCGTCAACGCTAGCTGCTGTGGCCCCACCGCTGCAGCGCCGACTCGCAGCTGAGCCGGGTGTCTGCCAGCCGCAACAGCACCAGCGGTGTGCCGGCCGGTCTCGCCGACGCATCGCCAGCCGCAGCTGTGTGATCTACGTGCAAGCCATACCACCGCGTCGCCGTCGCCCCTGTGCACGCCTCACCACCGCGCACGCCCCTCCTGCTCACCTCAATCTCGACGGCCCGCAGCGGCCCAAAGAAGGCCTTCTGGCACGCCTTGCCAAAGAGCAGCGTGAGAAAGACGGCCCAGTTGAGCAGCACGAGCATGCAGCCGTTGCTGCGTGCCAGCAGCACGGCGGCGCTGTAGAAGTTCGGGCGGCGGTGCAGCGCGGCGACGACGACGGCGGCGGCGGCGCCCGACGACACGGCGCCGTAGAGGGCGATGCGGCGGCCCGTCAGCGCCGACGCGGCGGCAGCAGCGGGCGCGGGCATGGCGGCGACGCTGCGACGCTGCAGCAGCGGCAGTAGAGCGGCCGGGTGTAGAGGATGTGGGTGTCGGGAGGCAGGCGACGTCCAACACCGACGCAGCACGCCGTGCGCCTCGCGTAGCGCGGCCCGCGTGACGTGGAGGGCGCGCGCGCTGGCTGCAGCTCGCAGGCACGCCGCGCCACGCCGGCCGTCCTCCTCCTCGCACCGACATTGCTGGCAACGCTTCCACAAGTGCGGCGCAGAAGCAATGGCTCGCCCTAAGCGTGCCTAATGGCGGCCAGTAGCCAGCATCAGGCGGCCTCGAGGGGCGCAGCCGCGCGGGAGCCTGCGCACCCGCTGCTCCCACGCCCCGCGCTTGGACGGCGCCGAAGCGAGCGGCGCGCCCCCTGCGCCGAGCCGCTGTCACGCGCGTGATGCTTGCGTGAGCGACCCACATCTCGCCCCCTGCCTCACGACCACATCAGCCCGTCAGCAAGCACGCACAGCAAGCTCAACCCTCTCGCTCCGCAGCGGACGATCGTTTGGCCCCGCTGAGACAGACGATCAGAGCATCCTTGAGGCTCAGTGCGCCGCACCGGTTGCTCACAATCTCGACGTGTGGAGGCTGCACGCCCAGGGCCGGCGTGCACGCGACTGCGAAGCACCAATACCCCAGCTAGCAGCTCCGGCCTTCCAGCGCATTCACTCGCCTCTCCTCACAGCCCGCTCAGCGCTGCCCATCGTGCTGCTGGCACGGCGCGCGCAGGGTCGGCGTCTCGCCGTCCTTGCCTCGCAGGCTGCGCCACGCCGCGGCATGGCCAAGCCTTCGCTCGCCGACTGGACCGGCCTCTTTGGCGCACCTCGCACGTCCGCCGACTCGGGCGATGACGGTGCGCGGCGACGCAGCAGCGAGGGCAGCGTGCCGCACCTGGCCGGCGTCTCGCTAGCCCGCGCACGCGAGCGCGCCGCGCAGGGCGTCTCGCAGGCCGAGCAGAACCTCGTGCACACGCACCACGACGGGCCCGTGTACCAGCCGCGCCACGCCCGCGTGCAGAGCACCGACTGCAGCGGCCCGCTGCTGCATCCCCTGCCGCAGGTCGCCCGTCGCGGCTCAGACGACCTGCGCGCGGCGCTGGCAGAGGCGCAGGCCGAGCTGGTGCCAGCACTCGTAGCCGCCCCGCCGCCAGCGCACCTCATGCCGACACACGCGCGCAGCCGCGAGAGCTCCAACGACGGCTCTGCCATCTCGCGGCCGCACACGCCGGCGAGTCGGTCCATCGAGCCGCAACTGCCGCCAAGCTGGCTGGCAGCGCGCGGCGCAGGCGGCTCGCCGGCTGCTCCCAACGTAGACTCTGGCTCGCCGCCGCGTGCAACACGCCCGCCCTCGCTGCTGCGCTCGCTCAGCTCACGCAGCATACACGCCGCACCGCCAGCGCTTGCATCGGGCAGCACGGCACAGCTCCTGCGCAGCACGGCACAGCTCCTGCGCAGCACGGCGACCGGCATCATCAGCTCGCCGACAGAGCCGCGGGCGCCCACGCTGCCGCCAACCTCGCTGCATGCCGGTGACGCGCGGCCGTTTGCCACGCTCGCGCGCCCCGGCGAAGAGGCCGCGCCGTCGTCCGACTACGACGGCTCGACGGCAGCGTCTGACCTGCGCGAGCGGCGCGCGTCGTCCGACGACGTGGCGGACCAGCCGTCGATCTGGGACATTGCGTCCGCCAGCCTGGGCCTGGCGCCCGACGTGCACGGCGAGCACGCGCACGAGGCAGAGACGGGCTCGGGCTTCTACGGCGCCATGGAGCGGCTGCGCGCCACGCTCGGCCTCGACAAGGACGGCGGCGACTGGATCCAGAGCCACCGCAGCGCGCTGGACGCGGCGCTTGCCAAGGCGACTGCGGCGGCAGCGAGCGGCACGGCAGCACCCGACTCCGAAAAGCCCGAGGGCAAGTCGGTGCACATCCATCCCTCCAAGGCGCAGAAGGAGGCCAGTTCGGACAAGGTGCCGCTCGTGTTTGCGCACGGCCTCTTCGGCTTCGACCAGCTGGCGCTGGGCCCCAAGAGCATGCCGCTCATCTTCAACTACTGGCGCGGCATCACCGAGGTGCTCAAGGAGCGCGGCACCGAGGTGCTCGTGGCGCGCGTGCCGGCCAGCGCCAGCATCCAGGAGCGCGCCGAGGCGCTGCGCGATGTCATCGAGCGGCACTTTGGCGGGCGCGAGATCAACCTCATCGGGCACAGCATGGGCGGTGAGTGTGGCGTGCCGGTGGCAGGGCGTGTGCTCACCACGCGTAGGACTCGACTCGCGCTACCTCATCTCGCGCCTCGAGACGAGCTTCACCGTCAAGTCGCTCACGACGATTGCGACGCCGCACCGCGGATCTGTGCGTGCCGCGTGCGGTGTGTGGCGCGCTGCTCGCTGACTGCCTGCCTAGCCATTCGCCGACTACATGCTGCAGGTGCGCTGGCGCCGGCGTCCCGCAATGATGCCGAGCTGACGGGTGTGTGAGCAGCAAGTGATCGGCAAGGACAACATACCCAGCCTGCTCTCGCTCGTGCGCGCCGTCGGCATCCCCGGCGGCGGCAAGGCGTTCGAGCAGCTGCAGCTCGCGGACATGGCCAAGTTCAACGAGGAGGTGAGCGGCGGCGCGTGTGTCGACTAGGTCCGCCAGCTGACCACGCGTGACCAGACGCCCAATCGCGAAGGTGTCCGCTGTGAGCATTGCCGTGTGCGGAGTGTCGACGGCTGCTGATGCTCCGCCGCAGACCTGTCCTACGGCGCTGCCTTCATGCCAGGTGAGTGACGATGCAGTGTGCCCGGCGCTGTGCTGACAGCACCGCAGGCTTTCTCTCGGAGTTCCGCATCCCGCACGGCATCATCTTTGCGCAGGAGGGCCCCAACGACGGGCTCGTGAGCTGCTCCAGCGCCGAGTGGGGCGAGTACCGCGGCACGCTCGCGGCGAACCACCTCGAGCTGATCGGTGAGCCCGCGCGGTGCTCCTGCCCGGGCCGCTACTCACGCCCCGCTGGCAGGCTGGATCAACGAGCTCAAGACGCGCTGGAACCGCATGACGGGCGGCAGCGAGCCGTTCGACCCGAAGAAGTGAGGCGCGCAGGCACAGCGTGGGCTCGCACCGACGCTGACGCTCGCGCAGGTTCTTCCTCGAGGTCTGCGAAGAGGTCGGCAGCGCGTAGCGCGCGATCCTGTGCGCAATGCCGCGCCGCCTGCACCATCTTGCCTGATAGACCTGCCTAATCGTACACCGCATGACATTACGATGCTCGAGACTGCCGCAGCTCCTCGATGTCGGCCTCGCTGAGGCCGTCGAGTCTGCATCTGAAGCGTGAGCAGAAGTCAGAGCGGACGTAGACGGAGTGACGCACCGCTTCAGCAAGTAGTCGACCTGTGCGCAGCTCGTCAGCAGGACGCACGTCGCGCACACCGGCACGGCTCACCTCGACCACCTTTGTCTCTGGGATGACAAACTCGCGATACAGCCGCACGACCTCCTTTGCGTCGATCTTGCGGCGGCTCTCGTCGCCCGTGTTCAGGTCCTGCCCGTACACCTCGGCCTTGCCCTCGAGGCGCACGAGCAGCGCCGCCTCGACGGCGGGCTTGGTGATGAGCGCCTCGAGCGCGTCGCGGTCGCGGCTCTGGATCGGCCCGATGAACGAGGCGGGCGCGGAGCGGAACTTGGACTCGGACACGAACATGCCTGGTGCACGTCAGCGGCACGGCGCTGGCGACCGTGGCTCTCGACGCACCAAAGTGTATCCGGCGCGACAGGGCCGAGAGCACCTCGACGTCGCGCGTCGCCGCACTGCCGTACTGCCCGTCGTCGCCCATCTCGACGCGCCGCGTGATTGTGGGCACGACCTCGTCGCGGTACCACTCCCAGATGCGCTTGTTGTCGTTGACGACGGAGCGCTCGTACAGCACCTTGGGGTACTCGATCGGCGGCAGGATGGGCTTGGGCAGCAGCGCCGGGTCGGTGAACGGGTACTCGTCGGGCGACTCGTAGCGCCGGCACTTGGCTGCAAGATGAGGATGGTAAACGAAGGGTGCCGCTGGTGTGCGCCTTCACATCCCCTCACCATGCGCCGCCTCCGTCTCGCGCAGGAACCACTCGACCCAGCTGCCGTCCCACTGCTCGCGCTCCTTGAGCTCCTTGAACGCGCCGGGCTCGTACATGCGCGCATTCTTGGCAAACTGCGCGCGCTCGATGAGCTGGAAGAGGATCGTGTCCTCGAGGCGCTGCAGCACGGCGCGGATGTGGTCGAGCGAGAGCAGCGGCGAGGAGAGGTGCGGCGGGAAGGGGTCCGTCATGGCGGGCAGCGAGGGTGTGGTGGAGAGAGAGGCGCCAGCGAGTGCGCGGCCGTGTGATCGGTGCGCTGGCCGGGACTCGGGCTGGCCGCTCGCCGCACAAGTGTTGGTCTGGTGACGCGACGTGTAGAGTGGTGGCGCGGCCGGCCTCCTTCGCTGCCACATCACCCTGATGCTCCTGGCCAGAGCCTGCGCACCCCGCCGCTTCTCGCACATCTCGCGGCTACTGCACATCACACACGCACGCAGCATGGCCGGCGCGGCGCCGCCGCCGTACCTCGCAGCGCTGTCGCCGGCGCAGCTCGAGGCCGCGACGGCGCCGCCGTCGAGCCCGCTGCAGATCCTCGCCGGCCCGGGCTCGGGCAAGACGCGCGTGCTCACGAGCCGCGCCGCGTGGCTCGTGCTCGAGCGCAAGATGCTCCCCGAGGACGTCGTCGTCATCACCTTCACGAACAAGGCGGCGGGCGAGATGCGCGAGGTGCGTGTGGGGCGCGCTGCCGGGTGGAGGCGTGCTGATGCTCGTGCGTGCAGCGCCTGCACAAGCTCATCGGGCCGGACCGGACCAGCCGGCTTGTGCTTGGTGAGTGTGGGCAGGGCCACCGTTACTGCCGCGCTGACGCCGCGCAGGCACGTTCCACGCCACAATGGTGCGCTACCTGCGCCGCTTCGGGCGCCTCATCAACCTGCCCAACAACTTCTCCGTGCTCGACGCCGACGACAGCAAGAAGGCCATCAAGGAGGCGCTCAAGACGTTCGACGGCGCGCCGATGGGTATCACGCTCAAGCCCGAGCAGTGCATCAACGAGATTTCGCGCGCCAAGTCGCGCGAGGAGGACGCGCAGGCGTTCGCCACGCGCCTCAGGCGCGAGCAGGCGACAGACGCCAGCAGCGTCGCCGTCAGGCTCGCCGTCGCCGAGGTGTACTTTGAGTACGAGGCGGCGCTGGAGCGCATGAACGGGCTCGACTTTGACGACCTGCTGCTCAAGGGCTGCGCCCTGCTGCGCCAGCCGGGCGTCGTGAGCAACGTGCTGCACGTGCTCGTCGACGAGTTCCAGGACACCAACACGACGCAGTACACGCTCATGTCGCTCTTTGCCGCCGCGACGACGTCGAACCTGCTCGCCGCGCCCGGGCTCCTGCCGCCCGGCGGCTGGACGTCCGAGGACACGCAGGCCGTCGGCCTGAGCATCGTCGGCGACCCCGACCAGTCGATCTACGCGTGGCGCAACGCCGAGGTGACGAATCTGGAGAAGATGTTCGGCATGTTCTCGGGCACACGGCGCGTCAAGCTGGAGGAGAACTTCCGCAGCACCGGCGCGATCCTCGAGGCCAGCCTGCGCGTTGTCGAGCAGGGTGAGGCGCATGCGCGAGTGTCGCATGCATTGCTGACGCCTGTCCTGCAGACACGGAGCGCGTCGCCAAGGGCCTCTACACGTCGCACCCCGCCGGCGTGCCCGTCGTGCTCAAGGAGAACGCCTCGGCCAGCGCCGAAGCGGCCTTTATCGCGACCGAAGTCAAGCGGCTGGTTGCGCATACCGGCGGGCTGCTGGATTACAACGACGTGAGGCGCTGCCACGCGGCCACTGTCTTCCCGCGCTGACACTGCGTCTAGTTCGCGGTGCTGCTGCGCTACAACGCCCTCTCGCGCGAGGTCGAACGCAGCCTGCAGCAGGAGCGCATCCCGAGCCGCATGGTAAGGCGTGTGTCGCACTCGCGCCGGCCCGCCCGCTTACCTGCCTGCAGCTCGGTGGCTCCAAGTTCTTTGACCGAGTCGAGGTGAGGCCAGTCGTGTCAGGAAATGGGCAGCGCTGACGCTACTCCAGATCAAAGACCTGCTCGCCTACCTGACGCTCGCCGAGAACCCCAGCTACACGCCGGCGTTCGTGCGCGTCGTCAACGTGCCCAAGCGTGCCATCGGCGAAAAGTCCGTGCAGGACCTGCTCGCCAAGGCGGAGGAGCTCGGCGTCGCGCCGATGACCCTCGCAGAGTCGATCGTGAGCGGCAGCAAGACGATCAAGGGCGTCAAGCCCGGCGTGAGCAAGGCGCTCAAGGGCTTTGTGGAGGCGGTGGCGCGTGTGCGGAGCAAAGCCGCCAAGGTGAGCACGCTGCGGTTGACATGCCTGCTCACGCTGACGCTCGCCACAGGGCGCGGCCGTGTCGGCGCTGATCCACGCCGTGGTCAAGTCCGTCGGCTACGAAGCGCACCTGCAGAAGATTGGCGAATACGAGTCGCGCTGGGAGAACGTCAAGGAGCTCATCAACTTTGCCGACCTCGTCGCCGAGAGTGTTGTGTCAGGCGCCGACGAGGACGAGGTGGCGCAGCAGATCCGGCGCGCGCGCGACGCACTCGAGCTGGACCGGCTTGATGAGGACGAGGTGGAGGCAGGCGAGGAGGACGAAGACGACGGCATGGGCCTCAGCGACGACGAGGCGCCGGCTGCGGCGCGTGTCAAGCCGGAGGCCGGCCGAGCGGCGTTCACGAGCGGCGCCGCGCTCAAGCGCATGGCGGCTGAGCCGGACGAGGCTGATAACGACGTGGAGCACGTCAGCACGCGCGAAAAGCGTGCGCGCCGCCAGGCCCCGCCTGTGAAGCCCGAGCCCGCCGACGTCAAGCCGCGCATCCGGGCCGCTCCGCAACTGGGCGCATCGAAAGACAGCGCCATCGAGCTGGACCTCACCGACGACGACGACGACGAGGCAGGCTCGTCAAGCGGTGACGACTCGGCCAAGGCGCTGGCGCCGTCGCCCGACGGCCCGCCGAGCGCCCTGCGCACGTTCCTGCAGGCCTGCACGCTGAGCACCGACATGCAAAACGAGGGCCAGGACGAGGGCCCAAAGGTGACGATCGCCACGTGCCACGCCGCCAAGGGCCTCGAGTTCGGCGTCGTCTTTGTCGTCGGCGTCGAGGAGGGCAACATGCCGTTCTACCGCAGCACCGAGCCGGCTGAGATCGCCGAGGAGCGGCGCCTGCTCTACGTCGCCTGCACGCGCGCCCAGTGCATGCTCTACCTGACGCACGCGGCCGAGCGCTTCATCGGCGGTGGCGGACGAGACGCTGCAGAGCGCTCGCTCTCGCGCTTCGTCGCGCCGCTGGCCGAGCGCGGCAAGCACCGTGGCGGCACTGGCCCGCCGGCCGGGGCCAAGGCGTCTGGCGCGGGCGGCAGCAAGAGCAAGGCAAAGGCCGCGTCGATTCCCTGGAACGGCAGCACGCGGCCGGCCATCGACGCGGGCATCTGCCGCGACCTCGCGACGGTCCTCGAGCGGCCGCTGCCGGACGGCCACGAGGAAGCGATGGTCAAGATGAAGAAGGACTTGTGAGTTGCTAGACAGGACGCGCCGCTGCGGCGCTGACACCTTCCGCAGCGAGGCGACCACGACGGCCGCGGCGATCAGGCGCCCAGAGCCAGTCAGCCGCTCGGCCATGTCGCAGTACGGGTCTGGCTACGGCTCCGGCTACAGCTCGCACGGCTCGCAGGAGTACAGCGGCGACGGCGGCTTCGGCGGCTTCGGCGGCTCCGGAGGGTATCGGCAGAACAGCGCAGGCAGCAGCAGTGCTGGCGGCTACCAGGGCTACCAGCGCTATCAGAGCTACAGCACGTACAGCGCCGCGGGCCGCTCGACCGGCGCCTCGAGCGGCGGCCAGGTGTACGACGTCAAGCGCAGCAAGCCGAGCTTCAACCCGCCGGGCTTCTCTTCCGCGGCGCGCCTGCGTGCCGCGCCGAGCAGCACAGGCCGCGAGCTGCTGGAGGAGGCCGGCCTTGGCTCCGACGGCGGCATCGTGGTGGAAGGCGACGCGCCGCTCAAGCCGCGGCCGAAGGCTGATCTGGCGAGCTTCGAGGTGCGTCTGCCGTGCCAGGCCCGCGCGACTCGTACTCATCCCCGCGCAGTCTGCCAACTCGGCCTCGCTTTCCAGCTTCATGGACCTCCTGCCGCCGGCTGCCGGGCCGAGCGCCACCAGCAGCACGCCGCAGATTCGCAATCCCGCGACTTCTGGCGGCCGCAGGCTCGGCACCGGCCGCCCGCGCCCAGCTGGCGCACCCGGCGCCAAGCGTGCGGCACCCTGATCGAAACGAGCACGACGAACATCAACGCGCCCCTGCATTTCACGTGTATAATAGGCAATAGAATCGACAACGACGACGAGCAGGCGGCTTTTGGTATGCTTGCGAGGGAACAGCGGCGGTCATTAGATGCGAGAGAGTGGCTACGACGGCGGCGGCTGCGCACTGCGGGCGCGCCGCGGCGGCCCGCCGGCGCTGGCGGTCCAGGTGTTGCTGCGGCGGCGCCCCGCCTCGGTGAGTGTCCGCTGGCCCTCTCGCCGGCGCATGAGCCCCGACACGAAGCTCGGCACGGCTGCCGGCGGCGACGTGGCAGCGGTCTCGATCTGCACGCGCTCGAGCGCGCCCGCGACGCCCGTCTCGTCGCGCGACATGCGCCGTGCCTTGTGCGCGTGCGGCGGCAGCGGCGGCCCGACGTCGTGCATAGAGGCCGCCTCGCTCATCACGGCGTCCTCGTCGTCGGTGTCCTGCCGGCGCCGCTTGCTGCCCTCTGCCGCGAGGCTGGCGCTGCGCGAGAGAGTCGCCGACTGCGCCTTGTGCGCGAGCCAGCTGGGCACCAAGCCTTCACGCGAGGGCGTCTCGGGTACGTGCAGCGAACGCGAGCGGGGCGAAGACGCCAGGACGCGCGGCGAGCCCGTGGCCGGCGAGCTGAGCGCCATGCGCGCGCGCCAGTAGCGCCCAAGCTTGCGCTTCAGCTCCTGGTCGCAGCCGATCGTCTCGGCCGTCGACACGACGCCCTCCCAGCGCACGCCGCCCGAGTCCATCGCCGCGGCGAGCGCGTCAAAGTCGCCAAAGTAGAGGTAGTGCAGGATGGCGGAGAAGGCGACGGGATCGGGCAGCGGCAGCAGCACGACGGGCGCGAGGCCGTCGTGCGAGCGCGAGAGGCGCGGCCGGCCGGGCCCGGCGTCGTCGCCGCGCGCCGGCGAGCCGGGCGCCGAGGCGGGAGTCGTGTCCGCCAGGATGCGCCGGAAGAGCGAGCTCTGCGTGGTGAGGTAGTCGGCGTGCACGCGGAAGGTGAGCTTCGTCAGGGGCAGGGACGGCGTGTGCACGGCGTCGCCGGCGGACGGTGCCGGCGCCTTGCTGCCTGGCTTCTCCGACAGGCCGGGCGCAGAGGCGCGCCGCTGCTCGAGGTAGCTTGTCGGCGGTGCTTGGGGCTCTGCTGCTGCCATCGCGGTGGGCCACTTGCTGGCGCTGGCACGCGACAGCTGCGTCTGCGCCGAGGAGGGCGCCGTGGACGCCGACGACGGAAGCTGCGGCGAGCCCGGCTCCGTCGACAGGTCCGACATGGCGTCCGAGGCACGCCGCGCGGCGTCGCTTGCCGCCGGCTCGCCGTCGGCTGCCATGCCCCTCCGCCGCCGGCCGAAGAGGCGGCTCGACTGGCCCGGCTGGTCGATCCACGGCGTCTTTTGCGGCGACACGGCGGAGGGCCTTCTTGGCGCCGCCGCCCCGCGCGCCGGCAGCGGCGAGCGGCGCAGCGGCGTCGTCGGCACGCCGCCGGGCGCGATGGCTCCGCTGAGCGGCACGAGCACGACGAGGTCGGACGTCTCTGGCCGCGTCCAGAAGTACGGCGCGAGGCGGTGCAGGCGCGCGACGATCTGCGGCAGCGGCACGCCCTGCACCTGCGGCGGCCCCGGCGGCGAGACGGCGTCCGCCGGCTCGGCGCGGAAGGCGTGGCTGTCGCTGCGGCTGCGCAGGCAGGGCCCGCCAAGCTGCAGCGGTGCCGGTCCCAGCGGCGTCGGCGGCGGCGCGGCCGGCTGTGCGGCGGCGGTCTTGTTGTCGTCGGAGGCCTTGGGCGTGCGGCTCAGCGAGGTGTCGGGCGTGCCGGCATCGAGCTCCTGGGACGCTGGCGGCGTCGCGGGCGGCGAGGCGCCGGCGCTGGAGCCGGATGGCGCCGGATCGTCGACCATGGTTGTAGGCCTCGGCGAGGGGCGCGAGACAGGCTCGCAATGAGGGAGGGCGGAGAGTGCACTCTGCTGAGCGCAATGAGGAGACAGAAAGGGGAAACGGCGAGGGCGCGGCGCAGGGCGGCGCGGCTCCGAGCGCTGCCTTCTTATTGTCCGCAGCGAGGCGGCTCTTGTTGTGTGCGGCTGCTTGGCCGGGCGGCTAGCGTGGGCAGCCGAGGGGACAGCTGCAGGTGTGCATTCATCCGCTGCACAGGCGGGCGACCGAGGCTCAGGGCCTTGTCCTGCTTCGGGCGGCGCCTTGTGGTCGGCGAGGAGCAGCGCCGCGCGGCGCCTCCTCGCCCATGCCGCTCGACGCGCGCGCGTCAAATCGGCTACAAACGCCTCGCGACGCGCCCTTGTCCGGCCTCGAGACCGTCACGCCGGCGCATCGGCCGCGCCTGCGCTGTCGCCTCTGCCGTGCAATCATGCCCACAGTGCATGGCCCTCGCCTCCCGAGGGCGCCACAGCGGAGCTCCGCCGTTCTCACGCTACGACGGAGCAGCAGAGCTTTGGTCGTGGCCAGAACCAGGCCGCCTCTGACTTCTATCAACAGGGCCGGGAGACGGACGAGCGCTGTGCCTGCGAGTAGGACCGAGGCGAGCCGCACGATGTGCCCTTGTGCGCGCCGGCCTACGCCGAGCGCGTCTTGTCCTCGCCCTCGCTGGCGAGCTTGACGGGAGCCGTCGGATTCCATGCACGTCATTTTGCGCTGGTTCGCTCCACCTTCTTGTCCGCGCCTCTGCATCGCAGCGCAGCGGAACAGCGAGGAGGAAACGGCGAAATGCGATGCGCAGGCTGTTCGGCTCGCGGGGCGCCGAGCACTTCCGACGGCCTGCGATCGCGACAGGCCTGCCCTTCCGCTCGTGCGAAGTGAGACGGACATGCGGAAGGCGGAACAAGCGGAGGCATCCCGTGCGGCGGCTGTTGGCCCGAACAGTGCGCCGTACCCATGCGAGCACCACAAGACCTCCCGCCGGGGTCAAGCGAGGTCTGGGAGCGAGGTGCCGCCCGCGCGTCGTGTTCCTCTGTCGCCTCCGCTGCGGCCTCGGCATGGTCCCTGGACCCTGCTTTGCTCAGCAAGCAGCGGCTCAGAAGGTTTCGCAGGTAGCGCAGGCGCAACGCAGCGCTTGTCGCGGCAGCTCCAAGCGGGCCTCGCGGCACGGCGAGCTTCCGAGCGCGGCAGGACGGCAGGTGAGCTGCGGCTCAGCCGAGGCACCGCCCGTGTGCGCTCAGACGCCGCCAGAAACCGGGCACTGGCGCCGAAGGCGCGAAGGAAGAAGCGAGCGGCGCGTGCCTCTTGGCGAGCACAAGAGGATGCGCGTCGTGCGCGCCACGCGTCGAAACGAGGACAAGAGATTCGTGCCGCCGCTGCCATGCGCGTGGAAAGGCCTCTGATGCTGCGCAGCATCGCAGCTCGGTCCGTCCGAGCAGGTCACGAGGACATTCCGCGGAAGCTAGACACACCATGGAAGACCCTGTCTGGGCTCGCAGCACCGGCGGCAGCTCTCGACGGGCTCTCGGCGCGGGTGAGCGAGCCGTGTGCAGGCTGTTTCCCACGCCAGTCTCGCCCCCCTGTGCGGACCGCCGGTGGGGCGCCCGATGAGGAGCGGACCCTGCAGGCACACTTGCGTGTTGCGACTATGCCAGTGGGTGCAGGAACGATGTGGGGTGGTGTACAATGAGGGGAGAGCGTGACATGGCAGGTGCAGGCTATGCAGAGGGAGCAGCAGGAGGCGCATCGGGCGCGGCGGCACCAGGGGACGGCAGGACGATGGGCGTGGCCGCGTGCGTGATGCCCGCGTCGCCGCCGGCATGCGGATCCAGCGAGCGCAGCGGTGCCGAGGGCGTCTGCTCCATGCCGGCCATGCGCAGCGCGAGGGCCCGCGCCTCGGCGCTCAGCACCGGCGGCGCCCCAGGCGGCACGCTCGACGCAGAGGCGCGCCGCGGCTTGCGCATCGGGCTTGCAGGGCTCTCGGCGGGGCTTGGCGCATCGCTCTCGCCGCTCACGACACTGCCTCGGCCGCGGAAGTGGCGCAGCCGGTACAGGCGGCCCGTGTTGTTCGGATCGCGCGCATCCTCGTCCGTCGGCTGCGCGCTGAGGAAGTCGGCGAGGCCGAGCTCCTTGTTGTGCTGCTCGCCAGACTCGAGCGACGAGGGCGAGACGTGCATGGGCGGCGCCGGCGCTGGCGCCACGCCGGGACTCGCCGTCGCGCCAGCGCTGCTGCCCGTCTCGGGCCGCTTCTCCGCTGCGCTGAGGTTCAGGTCGGAGCCCTCCCAGGAGTGCCGGCCGTCGCGCATGACGCGCTCGACCAGCGAGCGCCCGCGCGAGCCGGAGCCGGAGCGGTCGGCGTAGACGGTGCGCGCCTCGAGCAGCACGATGCGCTGGCCGAGGATCGCCATCAGCGGCGCGTACAGCGGGATGAGCGCCTGCGAGTGGTCAGCAGGAGCTGTGTGGCGCGACACGTGCTGCTCACCTTGGCGTAGTACACCTCGGTGATCTCGAGGATGAAGTTGACGAGGTTAAAGGCCGTGGCGATGGCGAGATAGGACAGGCCGCTGCGTGCGTGCTGATGTCAGGCCATGCAGAAGGTGACACATCACCCCCACCCACCTCGACACGAGTTGCTCGACGATCGGCGTGAGGCTGCGCCACTGCACCTTGAGCTTGTGCAAGAGGCGGATCGGCTTGCCGACGTCGCGGAAGTGGATCTGCGTGTCTGGCGGGCGCCCATCGTTGGAGATCTCGAGCAGGCGCCACAGTGAGATGCCGACGGTCGCCAGGTCCCTGCGGGCGCGGGTCAGCGCCGCAGAAGGGTGCCGTCGCGCGCACCGCAGAAGGGTGCCAGCTGCGCACACGCACATGAGCATCGCGAGGAGGTAGAAGTACGGCAGCGTATTGATGGCGCGGCCCGAGGCCGTGCGGTACGCCACGGGCATGCACGAGCCTGTGGTGGCGCGTGAGCACCTGCGGCAGAGCAAGAGCATGGCTTGCTCACCGTTGGCCATCAGCTCGTCGACGGAGAACCAGAGCAGTGCAAAGCTGCCGCCCGTCTGCAGCGCCATGAGCACGGCCAGCGCCCAGACCACACGGCGGTTCCAGCCCCAGATGGCGCACGCGCGCCAGCTGAAGACCAGCGCCACGGCGAACTGCACCGGCACGATGGACTGAGGCGATGTCAGCGCAGGCGAGGCGAGGCGTGTGGCTGGGCCACGCACCAGCTGCTGATGCCGCAGACAGTCGTCGGACCCGAGCGTAAAGTCGTGCTGCGCAGAATGAGCGGATGTGCACGGCAGGCAGGCACGGCACTCACGAAGATGGAGTACGCGGGCAGCACGACGGCCGGCACGGTGGCATAGCGCTGCGGCACATAGACTCAACTTCCGCACTGGGCGCTCGTTCTTGCTTACTGACCACGAGCGCAAAGAGCAGCACATGCGGGCTGTCCCAGGCGCGCCGCCGGTAGAGGGCAATCTCCTGCGGCACGCTGGCGATGAACTCCCAGATGTAGAGCGTGAGGGCGGCGACGCAGACGTTGTTGATGATGAACTGCGCGCGTGTGTTAGTCTGCATGGGCCAGGAGTGGCTGCGACGGTGACGGTTGCTGGCTCGCCTTGCGCAAGACGGACGCTTCCGCCGTGCATCGCACAGCCGCACTTGCCGCAAGACCATACATCGGAGCCATCCACCGTGCCAGCTGCTCTGCCGCCCTGCCGCACCGACCGCATCCACCGCATCTGCCGCACGTCACATGTTGCACATGCCGCATCCCACACTCACCTGCTGCCGCACAAAGAGGTCAAACGAGAGCGGCGCGCCGTCGGGGCGCACGTTGCCCGTCCAGCCGGCGGGCGGCGCAATGGTGATGTTGCCGTAGCGGTAGCGCTCCTGCAGCACCTCTGCGCCGGGCGCAATGCCGTCCATGGCTGCGGCGTGCTGGCGCCGGCAGGCGCAGCGGAGGCGCGCAGGCCAGAGACGAGCGCGGCGCGGCCCGAGCTGCCGAGGGCGCGCGGAGGCAGCGGCAGAGAGGGGCGCGGCAGGGGCGAGCAGGCGTGGTCTGCAGTATAGAGTGCAGCACGTCGGAGTGGTCCAGGGATATGAGATGGTGGTGGTGTGAGCGCCGTCGTCGCCGGCGCCGAGACGAGGCCAGCGTCAGGAGCGTCGTTCGGCGCCCGGCACGGCGGCGAATGCGGAGCCCGGACTGCGGCGCAGCACGGGCACAGCGGCAGTCTGTTTTTTGGCGCGCGCGCCGTACGTCACCGCAGCATGCGGAGACGCCGAGGCAGCGCTGCGTCCCGACTGCGAGACACAACATGGAGCTTCGCACAGCGAGCGGCCCTGAGATCGGGCGCGGATGCCTCTTGGCGAGGGTGCGCAGCCGCGCAGGGCGTGCGGGTGCCTTGCCCCAGCCGCCGGCGCAGAGACCGGGCGCCAAAGCTGGGGCCTGCGAGCGGCCTGCGATGGCGGCGTGGTGCGCCCGTCGCTGCTTCTCGGCCGAGTCAGAGGCGCCGCTGCTCACGCCCGCCGGCGGTGCTGACTGCGCCTTAGCCTCCGTTGGCGCAGCACACGCAAAGCCGACGGGGCAGCTCGGCCCTTGCCTGCCCCGCGGCATGAGTTCGGAGGCAGCGAGATCCGCCGGACGGCGCGAGATCTGCTGCACCCCTGCCAAGCGGCACTCTATGCGGCTGAACGCGGCGCGGGCGTGCGTCGGCCTTCGGGGCTGAGGCTACCGCATGCCAAGGGGCCGTGGTGAGGGGTGCAGCAACGCACGGACTGGACCCCGTATTTTGAGCTCAACATTGCTGCTTCGTCAGCAGCGTCGACGACGCTGCGGTACGCCGAACACGAGGAGGTGTGGCACGCGGACGAGCTGCGCCTGCCGCTGGGCGCAGCGCCGCGTGGCGTGGGCGCAGCGGCGCTAAAGTGCGCGCCGTTGTGCCGCGCCGCATGCGCGCCGCACGCGACACACACCGACGCCGCCGTCCAAGGGGCATCTCCAGCGCTTCTTCTGACCGCCTGCTGCGGCGGCAAACGTGCGCCAGGCACGCAGGGCGCAGCGTACCATGCGCTCCATGCGGTCGCGCGATCTCAGCTTGGCCCCTGGGCGAATCCAGCCGCGGCTACTTGGGGCGCTCGGCGATGCTGGCCGCGTGGTGCGCGCACGACCTCATGTCCCGTCGCCGAGCTCGCAGCGCCAGCGTCGTGCTGTGGGTGGCGGCACGACGGCACAGCAGCCTCGCTCCGTCGCGCGTATAAGAAGGCCGCCTCTCGCCCGCCCACCTCTCAGCTCTGCACACTTCGTCACCCTCTTTCGTCACCTCGCCTCTTCTTCTTCTTCTGCTCAACAGCTGGTCTGTTTTGCCTCTCTTTCTGCCTTCTCTTTGTTCCTCGCTCTCTCGCCTCTTCAAGCTCTTCACACCATGTTCAGCAACGCGTCCAAGTTCCTGCTCCTCGTGCTCCTCGGCCTCAGCGCCTCGCTGCAGATCGCCGCGGCGCCCGTCGACACGACCGCCGAGCCGCTTGCGGCACGCGCGCCCCTCGGCGCCGCCTTCGGGCGCCTCGCCGGCAAGTTTGGCGGCAAGGGCGGCGCGGCGGGCAGCGCGGCCGGGGCCGGTGCCAAGAAGGGCGGCGGCGGCATGATGGGTGGCATGGGACTGGCGGCCGCTGGCACGCTGCCGTTCATGATCCCGTGAGTTCTGCGCAAGGACAAGTCCGGGCACGGAAAGCTGACCTCCGACACCCCGGCAGTGGCATGATGGGCGGCGACTCGTCGCAGCAGCAGCCTGCTCCGGCGCCTGCGCCGGCCCCGGCTGCCTGAGCGCCTGCGCCACCGAGATACCGTGGGTGCACTGCTGCTCGTCCGCAACGACATCTTCTGACGCCGCCGCCACAGTAGCAGATTGCGCATCACCCCTTGCACCTCTGGCCCGTACGCGCGGCGATGCTGCTCCGTCAATGCGATGCCTCATGTGTGACCCTGTCTGACGCGAGAAGCCTCGCCGCATTAATTGTCCCCCCCTCACGCCACCACCTCGCCCTTCTTGACCTCCTTGCCCGTCTTCTTGATCTTCTCCAGCACCGTCTCGTACGGCGCCGTGCCCTTGACCACGACGGTCTGTGTCTCGAGCGAGACGTCAAAGGAGGAGACGCCTGGGTTCGCAGAAGGGGGTGTGAGCGGGGCAGGGCAATACGCCTGGGCGGCGTGCACCTCGAGGCAGCTTGGGCTGCGCTGAACAGCTTGCGGCCATGCGGCCCGGAGCATTGCCCGCCACATGCCGCCGATGTCTGGCTCTGCGAAGCGCGACGCCACGAGGCCCTCGCAACGCGGCGCCCACGCGCGACGCCTCATCGCGCCCCCCCGGTCGCCGGGTACCTCGCGCGCTCGGCCCACGCTCTCACTCGTGGGCGCGCTGCAGCTGCTGAGTGAGGCTCGTGCCCGCGCCGCCACGCCCTGCACCTCGCGGCTCTGCCCTCCCGCGCAGCCCAGCGCGCGACGGCCTCGGACTCACCGTCCAGCTTGCCGAGCACGCGCGACACGGCGCCGCTGCAGCCGCCGCACGTCATGACGACCTCGAAGCGGTACTCGTGCTGTGCGGGGAGGCGCGCGCCGATCAGCCAGGCGGAGCAGCGGGGCGCAACACGAGCCTGCCCTCACTTCTGCCATGGTCTGGAGAGAGAGGCCGCCGTGGAGGATGGGGAGAGGGAGGCGAGGAGGCGGGGCAGCCGGCTCGGTGCCGTGCGCTCACGCCAACGTCCGTGCGCGGCCAGCGGGGTGAGAGTCGCACGCGCAGCTGCTTGAAGTTGACAGCGAGCAAGAAGAAGCAAGCAGCTGAGCCGCCGCCGCACGCGCCGCCCACCGCCGTCGTGTCTCCGCGAAATTCGCAGCACCCGGGCGGAGCTCGGTGCCCTGCACGCTGCGCTCATCGCGCAGGCACCGCATGCACAAGGCGTCTCGCCGCGCCGAGGGGCCGCGCGAAGCGCTGTCCGCCTCGCCAGCACCAGTCGCCCGTGCCAGGCGCACCAGGCGGGCAGGTCTGTGCCGCGAGGGTCAGCACGCAGCACGGGCGAGCGGTCGACTCTGCCTGCCTGCTGGGCTGCTGTCCACATGCGCCGCCGCCGTGACGCTGCGGGAGCGGCTGCTGGCGGCGTGCTGGCGGCGTGCTGGCGGCAGCGGCCGCGCGCGTGGTGTTGGCGCGGCAGCGGCTATGTGTGTGCTGGACCCTCGGCGGCGTGCGCCGTCGATCTTGGGCGTGCAGCGCGTGCATGAGCCACGCCGACAGCGGCCGCGCGGCCGTGCTGCCCGCCTGCGCGCAGAGGCCGAAGATGTTGGGCCTGTCTGGCGCTGGACGGAGCTGACGCAGGCAGTCGGCCAGCCACGGCGCCCTCCAGGCACGCACGCCGCACGGGGTTCTCTCGCTCGGTCTCGCTCGCCTTCCCTGCCCAGAAGAACGGTTCGACGTCTCTGCTGCTGGCACTCGCTGCCCCTCGCGCCTTCTTCCCGACCCCCACCCACCCCCACCACCGCCCCTCGCCCCACCCCCACCCCACCTGCCCGCCATGGCCAAGTACGCCAACGCCAAGATGGTCTTCCTGAGTGCGTGCCGCGTGTTGCATGCGTCTTTGCGCATGACTGACGCCGCGCTCCGCGCCTCCAGCCGACTTTGAGTGCGTGGGATGGGCGCGCCGTGCATGCTTGCTGCCGCGGGTCACGCCTTTCATGCCTGCTGACCCTTGCCACGCAGCGGCACGATTACGATGCTCGACTCCAACGACCACATGGTCGACACGTGCGGCATGGGCTACACGGAGCGCCGCAAGATCAACGAGGAGATCATCCACGAGCGCACCTCGTACCAGGACGGCTTCCGCACCATGGTCGAGAGCGTCAAGCGCCCCTTCAAGGAGATGGAGGAGCTCGTGCGCCGCGGTGAGTCTCGTGCGCAGCGCAGCAGCAAGAAGAGAGCAAGAGGGCGAAGCGGCGCACGCGGGCGCAGCAGCAGAGAGCGAAGCGAAGCAGCAGCGCGCAGAAGGTGAACGAGGCGTGCATGGAGTGCGCTGCTGTGTGCGCCGTGCTCGCACACCTCTGCGTGCATGGAGTGCGCTGCTGTGTGCGCCGTGCTCGCACACCTCTGCGTGCATGGAGTGCGCTGCTGTGTGCGCCGTACTCGCACACCTCTGCGTGCATGGAGTGCGCTGCTATGTGCGCCGTACTTGCACACCTCGCCTCACATCGCCGCGCGTCTGCGCTCGAGCACGCTGCGGCGCGCGGCGCCTGCTTCTACTTGTCATCTCGCCTCCTGCGCACTGCCTGGCCTGGCCTCTCTCGCCTGTCTGCTCGCGCTCACGCGCGCCGCGCAGACGTCACGCTGGACCCCAAGTTCAAGGAGTTCCACGCCTACGCCAAGAAGCACGACATTCCCATCGTCGTCGTGTCGTCGGGCATGACGCCCATCATCCGCAGCATCTTTGCCAACCTCATCGGCGAGGAGGATGCCAACTCGATCGACGTCATCTCCAACGAGGTCAAGTTTACCGACAAGGAGCAGGTCGGCAACACGTGGGAGCTCGTCTACCGCCACCCCGACAGGTGCGTGCCAGAGGTGCCCAGGCCCAGCAGCGCGCTCACTCCCCTTCCTCGCAGCCACTTCGGCCACGACAAGTCCCTCTCGATCCTGCCCTACCGCGAGCTCGAGAACCCGCCGCTGCTCTTCTTCGCCGGCGACGGCATGTGAGTGGTGGCAGCGACGGGCGCCGACGCTGGCCGCACTAACGCCCACGCCAGCTCGGACATGTCTGCCGCGCGCCACGCCGACGTGCTCTTTGTCAAAGACAAGCAGGACAACGACCTCAAGACGTACGTCGACAAGTACAAGATTCCCTACACCATCTTCAAGGACTGGGGCGTGATCCAGGACATGGTCGAGAAGGTGAGGCCAGCAGAGAAGCGCCTGGCTTCTGCAACGCGCGCGCAATGCTGACCCCCCCTCGCGCCCAGATCGTCGACGGCAAGATCGACATCGACTCGCTGCGCAAGCCCAAGGGCTACATGACCGAGTCGAGCTAGACGGCGGTGCCTGCTGGCCCGCGTCTGCCGCTTCGAACTACTTCTCGCTAAGTCTCTCGCCACTGGGTTTATCAATAGAACGCGCAGTCATGACAAGATCTCGCGTGACAAGGGGCGGGGGGGGGAGGGGGCTGCATTGCATGCATCTCAGGTCAGGTCGATGATCTCGGGCAGAGACGGCGCGGCGGACGAGGCACTCTTGGCGCGCGCAAACGGCCTGCTGCTCGGCGCCGCTGGCACGCGCAGCGCGGAGGCACCCACCTCGGCCTCGCGCCGCTTCGCCGCCGCCGGGCGCGCGGGCACGTCGTTCATGAGGGCGTCGAGCGAGGCGAGCAGGCCGGGCGAGTCGCTGGCGTGCGCCGCCGGCGCGCGTGGCGGCGGCGGCGGCGTCGAGGAGCGCGGCGGCGGGAGCGGCAGGACAGAGGCGCTGGCGCTGCGCGCGGCCGGACGGGCGCGCGGGCGTGGCAGCGGCGCTGCTGCCGGCCCGGCGTCGAGGTCCGCGTGCGGAGTGCCGCGCGCCACGGGACTGCGGGAGCGCCGCGGCGCAGTGGGCGCAAACGGCTGCGCTGCGACGGCGGACAACGTCGAGCTGGACGCTGCTGCGGCCGCCTTGGGCGCCGGGCGCCCCTTGCCCTTGGGCCTGCTGAGGCGGTCGAGGCGCGCCAGCAGGCCCTCGTCGCTGTCCTCGCTGCTGCTCTCCTGCATCGCCTCGTCCGCCGCCGCGGGGGCCGCCTTCTCTGCTCGCCTTCGGCGCGTCGGTGCCTTGGCCGCGACTTTGGCATCCTTGAGCGCCTGCTTGGCACGCGCCGCCAGCTCCGCCTCGGCCACGTCGCGCCGGCGAAACGTGGCGCGCACGACGTCGCTCCACAGGCCGTCGCCGCTGGGCTGGCCACGCTCGGAACAGCTGGGACAGGCGCCGTGCGTGGGCAGCAGAAAGGTGCGCGAGGCGGAGGCGTCGCTGCGGCCGCTGTCGCTCGCCGCCGACGGCGCCAGGAAGCGGTCGGCGAGGCACTCGAGATGGAACACGGCGTCGCAGTGCCTCGATGCTCCGGCGTCGCTGGCCTGCGGCAGCAGGCCAAAGACGCTGCGCTGCGCCGGCGCACGCGGTGCGAGCTCCGTGAACGGCGCGGGGCAGAGAGCATACGAGGCATGCGCCCACAGCAGCACTGGCGCGCCACATGCGCTGCACGGCACCCGCGGCCCTGACTCGGCCGCAGGTGGCGGCACGGCAGAGCCGGCGAGGAAGCGCGTGTGGGCGATGTGGCGCTGCCGGAGCACGTGCTGCAGGCGCGCGTAGGCCAGGCGCGCCAGGTCGTCTGGTGAAGAGGGAGAGAGAGATGATCAGCTGCCAGCAGGGCGGGTCCGTCATGTGTGCTCCCTCCCACTCACTGTCGTCGCAGCGGAAGCGCGGGCGCTCGTGCGGCGCGTGGGCGGCCGCGGCGGCGCCCTTGCCCTTGGTTGGACTGCTCATGAGCGAGTCGCCCTGCTCGTCGTGCGCCTCTGGCAGCAGCGGCGGGGCCGGCGCAGCACACGGCGCCGCCTCGAGGGCGGCCCAGGTGAGGCCCATTGCCTTTGCCGTGGCGCTGCGCGGCAGCGCCTCGGGCCAGTGGCCGGGCAGCGTCGCCGTGCCGTCGTCCTCCTTGCTCTTGCCCTTGCCCTTTGCTGGCGCCGGCGGCTCGAGCTTGAGACGCTTCTTGGCCTCGGCATCGAGCGCACTCAGCGGCGTGCGCGCGCCGTCGACGCCGAGAAAGTCGGCCGTGCAGGCGACGAGGTGCGCGGGCGGCAGCGCACGCTCGCCGCGCGACAGCGGCGGCGCCGGCGCCGGCGGCAGGCGCGCCCAGGCGGCCCAGGCCCACTCCTCGAAGAACGTCAGGCGCAGGCCCCACGCCGCAAAGGGCTCGGAGCGCAGCAGGGCGCGCAGCACGAGCAGCTGCGCCTGCGGCGAGCCGGCGCCGAGATGGCGCTTGCCGTTGGCCATGGGCGCCGTCGTGGTGCGCGACGAGAGCGGGAAGAGCGGCTGCGGCACGTCGACGGCGCCGCCGCCGCTGCTGCTGCTCGGCTTGGTGCGCAGGTGGCGCGAGAGGTGCGGCTTCTGCCAGGCCCATTCGAACTGCCGCGCAAGGCACGTGTCAGCAGAGCGGGGGCAGGTGCGAGGAGCGATGCGAGCGCCGACGACGCGCACGGCAGAGCCCAAGGCGCAAGCCGCCCGCTCGTAGCGATGCGAGCGCCGACGACGCGCACGGCAGAGCCCAAGGCGCACGCTGCCCTGCGAGCGCCGACGACGTGCACGGCCGCCCCAAGGCGCGCGCTGCCGGCTCGTGGCCCGCACGTTGCCACACGCTGCCCGCATGCTACTCCTCGCTGTCGGCCCTTGGGCGATGCCGCCTCGCGCGTGCCTCGCCGTGCCGCCGGTGCTGGCCCTCGCGCGCGCCCTGCCTGGCCGTGCTCTCCTCGCCGCCGCCCTGCGCTCACCTGCAGTGCGGCAATCTTGCTGCCAAAGCCCCACACGACGAGCTGCGTCTCCCACGGCCGCCCATTGCGCGTCTTGTGCGCGCCGGCGGTGAGCTCGCCGTTGTGCTGGCGCTTGCGGCGCGCCGGGTCGGGCGACGAGCCAATGTAGGTGCGGCTCGAGTTGGGCGCGGCGACGGAGCGCAGCAGATAGCAGGCGTAGAAGGGCGGCGGCGCGTGCGAGACGACCGACGAGGGCATGGCGCGCGGCCGCTGCGCCAGGCACGGCGCCGGAAGGAAGAGCAACGGCGACGGGCAGGCGGCGTGGTGGAGGAGAGGCAAGCGCGGCGGCGCGAGGCGGCGGCGGCTGTCGCGTGTTGCTCGCGCCGCTGCGCCGCAAAGGCATCAAAGTCACCGCGCGCATCGATCCCGTCACGCGTCTTCCCTTCTCTCCACCGCCTCGCCCGCTGCCCAGCATGCCCGCACCCACGCTCGCCCTCCCCACCTCGTCGCTCCGCCACACGCCCTCGCCACACGTCGTGTACCACATTGCCATCGCGCAGCCCGTGCGCTCCTGGCTCGTGCTGCGCCGCTACTCGGCCTTTGCCGCGCTGCACGCCGCCCTCGCGCCGCTGCTGCTCGCCGAGCTGCCAGCCCTGCCGCCGCGCCACGCCGCACGCCACGTGCTCGGCGCCTCGCTCTCGCGCCTCGGCCTCGGCGCCGCGGCGCCGCTGCACGCCGGCGCCGACGAGGATGCAGCGGCCACCGAGCGGCGCCTGCAGCTGCAGCGCTTCCTGCGCGCCGTGCTGTGTCGCGTGGCGGCAGCGCCGCGCACGCCGGCGCACGACGCCGCCGTCCCGCACCTCGCCGCCTTTCTCGACATGGCGCCGAGCGATCTGCTGGCGCTGGCGGCGCGTGTGCGCGACGAGGAGACCCCGACGCCCGCGCCGGCAGCGACGACGAGCAGCGCCGCGCCCGCCGCCCCTCGCGCTCCTCCGGCGGCGGCGCCCGGCGGCTTCACGCGCGCCTTTGGCTCCGCCGCCGCCGCGCCGCACGCCCAAGAGACGGCCGCCACACGTGCGCTCTCCTCGCAGGCGCTGCTCGACTCGCAGAGCGCCAGCATGGCCGCGCAGGACGCGCAGCTCGGCGACCTGGCCGCCGTGCTGCGGCGGCAGCGCACGCTGGCGGGCGCCATGAACGCCGAGCTGGCGCAGCAGAACGAGCTGCTGCAGAGCTTTGGCGGCGAGCTGGAGAGCGTGCAGCGCAAGATGGGCACGGCGCAGGGACAGATGAAGCGCCTCGGCTAGGCTCGTGCGATGAGCGGCAGCACGCAGTGGAGCTCGGAGACGGGCTGCAACGCACGCCGCGCTCGCGCGCGCCCGACGCTCATGCAGCGCCGCTCAGATGTGCTTGGCTGCTGCACTTGCCTGGCCGCTGGACCGAGGCTTAAGTCATGCTCTGCACCTCTCGGCTGCCGCACCGCACCGACTCGCCTCGGTGCGCATGGGGTGCGCCTCTCGCTGGCCGGGGCCACGAGACGCGCGCGCGCGCCTCCACATGTGCATCGCGCGCTGCACCGCCTCATGCTGCGCGCGCGTCTCCTCCTCGGCGCGCCGCGGCGGCGGGCGGGCCCTTTGCACCTCTTCCCCTCCCACCACCACCCCCGCCTTCCTCCCACCATCCATACCCTCTTATACCCCCGGTGCAATCACTGATGAGCAAGGTGTGTCTCTTCTGCCTCCTGCCCAATCATGTCGCCAACCTGACGCGCGCGCGCGCCGCCAGTTGCTCAAAAAGGCCGCCGGCAAGCTCGAGGACTACGCCGCGTCTCGCGCCTCCAGCGGCAGCGGCGGCGGTGCCGCATCGAGCTCGGCTCCGCCGCCCAGCACGCCGCTCGATGTGTTGCCCTCGCGGCGCGACATCCTCCTGCATCGCCAGCAGCGCGGCGTCAACCTCGGCTCTCTCTTCGCGCTCGAGCCGTGGCTGACGCCGTCGCTGTTCGAGGGCGTGGCAAGTGCCGACAGCGAGATGGATCTGCTGCGTGCGCTGCCTGCCGCCGAGGCGCGCGAGCGACTTGAGCGCCACTGGAGGGGGTTCCTTGATGCGGGCGATTGGAAGTGGATGCGGGAGCACGGCATCAACACGGTGCGGCTGCCGCTGCTGTACGTGCACTTCTGCGCCTCGCAGGCGCCGCAGCTGCTCAGGCACACCGAGTACGCGCCGTACGTCGACGTCTACGCCGGCGCATGGGCACACGTCGAGCGTGTGCTTGCACAGGCGGCGCAGCATGACATTGGCGTGCTCGTCGACCTGCACGGCGCGCCCGGCGCGCAGAACGCAGACGGACACAGCGGGCTCAGTGGCGCCAAGGTGCAGCTGTGGGACGGACACGCCGCCGCGCAGAACCAAACGCGCACAGTCGAGATTCTCGTGGCGCTTGCGAGCAGCCTGGCGCCGCACGAGCATGTCGTGGGCCTCGAGCTGCTCAACGAGCCGCGCAACGGCGCCACGCTGCAGGCCTTCTACGAGCGCGCCGCGGGGGCGATTAGGGGCGCAGGCGTGCACATGCCGCTCTATCTCGCCGACGGCTGGGATGCGCCGCACTACGCCCAGCTTGTAGCGAGGCGCGAGGACTTTTGCGTGCTCGACACGCACGTGTATCGCTGTGTGGGTAGAGTTGGACACGCCCGCCAATGCAGAGCGCTCAACCCCCTTCCCCCGCAGTTCACCAAGGACGACCACTCCCACTCCGCCTCCTCGCACGCGCGCTCCATGCGGCCCGGCGGCGCCTCGCACGGCATGCTGTCGCACTGGAGCACGGCGGCGCAGCGCAGCCTCGTCGTGGGCGAGTGGAGCGCGGCGCTGAACCCTGCGTCGCTGCACAACTGCGGCGACGCCAAGGAGGCACAGCGAGAGTATGCACATGCGCAGCTGGCGCTGTTTGAAGAGACGTGTGCCGGCGCGTATTTCTGGACACTCAAGAAGGAGGGCGGCGCCGAGTGAGTGTTCGCGCGTGAGGAGACTGCAGCGATGCCGCGAGCTGACGTCACGTCTCCCGCCAGCCCGGGATGGTGTCTCTACACTGCCATCGAACAAGGCATTCTGCCCTCTTCGCTCCACCCACTCGCCTCGGCCTCTGCGCCCTCGGCCGAGGTCCTCTTGCGCGCCCGCCACGCCGCACACGAGGCTCACCGCACGTACTGGGCGGCGCACGGCGCAGGCGACGGCGCACACGAGGCGTTTGCCGAGGGCTTTGCGCAGGCGACGAAGGACGCCGCGGCGTTCTGGCAGTGCGACAGGAGCACCGTCGGCTTCACGCAGCAGTGGAGGCGCACGCGGACGCAGGCGTATGAGAAGGCCAAGCGGTCGAGCAACGAGTGGGAGTATGCGCATGGCTTTGCGCAGGGCATTGGCGCGTTCAAGGATGCTCTGAAGTGATGCAGCAAATTGCCATGCGTGTCATTCCGCCTGCTACAACGGCCCGAGAAGGATGGCGTCGGCAAGCGCTCCGGCCTCGAGGGTCCGCGGCCCCTGGGCCTCGAGCGCCGGCACGCAGACGAGCGCATTGGCCGTGGCCATGGAGTGCATGCCGCTGGCGCGGGGGGAAAGAGGTCAGCGAGGGCCATTCGAGGCCGCTTGTGGACACTCACCTGCTGCGCTGCACGCCCGTGCTCCTCGCCACGAGCTCGCCATTCGCATCCGGCGCCACGACGACGCGGTGGAACTCGGGGCGTGGGTCGAGGCGCAGCGCCTCGGCCAGGCGCACCTTGATGCGCGCCGCCGCCTCGCCGCCCGAGTGCCCGCCGAGCTTGCGCAGCGCCGGCAGCACAAAGACGGAGAAGCAGACGAGGGCCGAGGCGGGGTTGCCCGGCAGCGCAAAGAGCACCTTTGGCCGCGGCTCTGCCGGCAGCGTCGCAAAGGTCGTGGGCTACACGAAGTCAGTCTGCGCACGTGCCACACGCCTCTCACGCCACCCACCTTGCCAGGCTTCATCGCCACGCGCCCAAAGTGAATCGTGCCGCCCAAGTCGCGCTCGATGATCGGCTTGAGCAGGTCCGACTCGCCCATGCTCGTGCCGCCCGTGGTGAGCACGACGTCGGCGTGAGCGATGCCGCGCTGCAGCGCCGCCACGGTCGCGGCCCGGCTGCAGCAGGGTGTGAGCCGCAGCAGCACACCTCCCGCCCACTCCTACTCACTCATCCCCGACGATGCCCAGGTCCAGCACCTCGAAGCCCTGCCCCTCGATGGCCGCACGCAGGCCCGGCCGGTTCGAGTCCCACACGCAAAAGTCCCAGCCATCGTCGCCGCCGGCGGCGGAGGCGGCGTGCGCCTGCGCAGCGCCGATGTCCTGCAGCTCGTTGCCCGTCGACAGGATCGCAACGACGGGCTTGGGATAGACGAGC